ACCATGGTCATGGAGTTTTTATGGAAACGAAAAATAATAAAATAAACAAGAAACGACAAGTTCAGACAAAGAAGACTTTCAATACATTTTAATATTATACTTTTTTTTAAGTCTAAATAAATTTTTATTATTATAGCGAGATGTCTAACTCATATACCAAAACCTGCAATCCCCCCCAAACCACCCTATGTCCAAATGCCCTCCTATACGCCGACGATACAGCTCTAATCTCGGTACCCAAAAATTTGAACCAACTAAATACTCGAACCCAAAATCTGTTAAACCAGTACTCTCACTGGTGTAGCAAATGGAGGGTCTTATTAAATTCACAGAAAACACAATTTTTCGTCTTTTAACACCCAAATTCTCAAAGAACCTCCCAGAACCCCCAACTCGTAAATGTAAATCTCCTGGGCGTCAGGCTCGCTTAACAGACTGAAGTTGACTATTTGGGGGTACAATTTTTTCGTACACTCAACTGGTCCTCTGATGTCCAACGCTCTCTTCATAAGATGCCAGTCTCCTTAAAGCATTATGCGGACGAATGGGGCATTGCAACACAAACACCCTAATTTACACTTACAATTTCTTTATCCACCCCGTTGCCAAATACAGAGCACCCTACGGCGTACTTCCCACAAATTTACCACACTCGAGAGACGTATACTCCGACGTTACCAATATCTCCCCTATCGCTTCCCCATCGTAGAAGTTTTCTAAAACATCTCCAACAGCCCCATCCTCACACGTTTCAAAACCCTTAGGAAACAATATGTCTCTCGCCCCCTGAAAGGCACCAACACACACTCACAAGACACACTACGAACCCCATGGCGCCCACGCCGAGTCCCACTTTTTCGAAAACCGAAAAGAAAAATGCCGTAACCAAATCTGAGACTTCTCCGCTGAACTCCAGGATTAGCTGGAATCAGCACCCCTAAACATTAGATAAACCCTTCCCAATCATATAAGTAGAAATTCATACTATTTGTACAATATCGTGATTTAGGTTTTTGTGGTTTCCCTAAATCATATTCCCCACCTTATATATGGACTTTTCCATTTACGAGGTTGGAAATAGTAAAATTGGCGATATTTTCGAGGAACACCGGTCCGTCACGCGCACATGACAACTTAGGAAATAGGTTACTTATTGTAATCAGGGCAAACCACCCCTAAAAAGGAGGATAACTCCTATAGCAGAGTATAAGGAAAATAAAATGTCCTAAAATTTAAAAACTTATGAAAAAGTCAATATTAAACTAAAAAAAAACTATTCTGTTCCTATATTATTGTCAAATTATTGGCGGCAGCACAAAAAAATATTGCGTGCTTGTTCTGTAAAGTATCACTTTCCGAGCTTGACACGTAAATAACTATTTTTTACACTTTTTTATTTGGTTTTTTGGCTATAAGAGGGAAAGCCCACTCACGCGACATGTCGCGCGCGACTGATCGCACGCGGCAATACTTTTGATGTTTTTAAATGACCACGCGACAGAACCGCGTTAATGGGCTTTGGGCTTTCCCTCTAAGACCTTTCGGTATATACAGAGTACTCCATTAAGAATTGGACATTGATAAAAAAAGTTAAATAAAATTGGGGAGTTAAAGGGAGTTAAAATTTAAAAAAATAATCAAGTGTAATACAAGTATACCAAGACCTTGATAATAGTCGGCTATTTTTGTTGAATTACCTGATTAGAAATAAGCTGATTTAACGAAACATCCATAGATAAAACAATACTTGTTTCCGAAATTTAGGGTGTTAAAGTTCAAAATCAAAAATTATGAATAGCTACAATTTTTTTATTACTCAGTTTCATCCAAATCAGAACCATGAGAGTATAATTTTGAAACCTAAAAACGTGGTCTATAAGTTGGTATATCCTTTGAAAACATTTGTTAAAATAACTTTTTTAACTATTTTGTCAATTAACAAAAAAAAAACCTAATTAATCTTTGAAAATATATCTTAAAATTAATTTGTACGAATACTATTTAAGTCTGCAACATTTATGTTGCATTTTTAAGAATATTAATAAAACAAGGATAAAACATTTAAATTTTATTATCATCATGTTTCTAGTCGGAGGCCTCAGACAAGATTCATGATTTTATAGAATACATGATTGTTGTTCATATATTAACATAAATATCTATAAATATATCGTAACATTTTGAAAAACATTTATTAGGGTATACTTACTAAAGAAATTGTCTTATTTTAAAATTTTAAAATTATATTTTACATGAAAGAATTTACTTTCGCTCTTCTAAATTGGTGATATTTTACTTGTCATCTGGATCGGTAGCCGATTAATTGTAAAATGTTTATATTATTCAAAATTTAGGAACTTATTTTAGATTCTATATATACAAAAATCAGTGTATATGGCAAAAATTTACATACCGACGCTGTAGTAAATATACATTAAAATATAAAAATAATTGATATGAACGTTTAAAAATTAACACATTGAATAATGAACTTATTATTAATATTAGATACATTTATTTTTATATTAACTCCTGGATCATTAGTAAAGAGTAAGAGTTTTGTTTAGAATTTATAAGTAGTTCAAAAGCTAGTATCTCTTAGGTGGATTATTTGTAAGTCTAATGAATAGAATTATGGTAAAAAATTTTGCGTAATATTTATATATTATATACTAAATTTTATATTTCTATTTAGACCCCTAAACCCGGTCTTATCTTAATTGGAAATAAGGGCTGGCACCATTTCTATGAAAATATATTTTTTAAATACCCATCAAGATAGAATCATGAATTGGGCAGAACGGTGAGCGATACTCTCTATTTTAAAGTTCCATTTTTTTTTTGTACATACTATTGGGACCCTGTGACTAGAATTTTACAGTTAGCCGGCCACTGAAATATTTTTGATAACTACAAATTAATTTATTGAGCGACTTATTCTTAAATACATTGAGCTAATACCTATAGTAATAACATGAATTAAAAATAAAGTCAATTTCATTTTTAATTCAACGGTATGATAAGATATAAAAAAATTAAAGCTTTTTAAATGCCCCCTAAATGCTTTTGTATGTATATCGTTGAGATGTACTATGTAAATATATTTGCACGATCGTGAGAAAGGGAGATAATAAATTGATGTTTTTTTTTTTAAATCAGAGTCAGATTGAGATAGGAAAAAAATTGATGCAATATGTTTTTTCTATGAAAAATATTATTGTAAAATTTGTACAAGCTTTATTAATTCTCAAATTATTAAAATACTATTAATTTTGCAACATTTCTAGAAACAAATAATTTTTTTTTATTTAGGGTCATCCTTAGCTATTTGGCTAAATTGTTATGCGGAATAACAAACATCATTGTTTATTATACTCTTCACACAGTAGTCTGTGATTTATTTTCGAGAAACCAAAATTTTATAATTAATCCAAATAAAAAAAAAAATGTAGTAAATTTTAAACAACTTTTAAATATGTCCGTCCGTCCAACCTATGTTACGTTTTTTTGTCAAAAACAAAAAATTATATTGCCCTGAAAGTTTAAAAAAAAACAAATATCAAGGTCGATAAGGGGCGAAGCCTATTACTTAAAAAAAAAAACAAAAAATAAAATTGCTTATTGGTAAAAGAAAATTAAATAAAAATGGGGAGTTAAACGGAGTTGAAATTTAAAAAAATAATCAAGGGTAATATACAAAGACCTTGATAATAGTCAGCTATTTTTGTTGAATCTAAATCTCTGAAATATTTTAATATCAATTTGATGAGACATAATTTTTGGCATTAATAATCAATTGATTTTTTATGCCAAAATTATGTAGAATCAAAATGTAATATTTAGCCACAACAAAAATAGCAGAATGTTATATTAGGTACGACTATTTCAGTATACAAAATATCGACTATTTCTCTAGAGAAATAATCGAGGGTAATATTCCAAGACCTTGATAATAGTCGGCTATTTTTGTTGAATCTAAATCTCGAGAATATTTTAATATCAATTTGATGAGACATACTTTTTGGAATTAATAATATGATTAGAGCCCGAGAGCTTTAGCTCGAGGACTTTAATCAATTGATTATTTATGCCAAAATTATGTAGAATCAAATTGTAAAATATTCGACAAATTTAGCAACAACAAAAATAGCAGAATATTAATCAAGGTCATGTCATATTTGGGACGACATTTCAGTAGACCAAATATGATATCAACTTGAAATTTTCAGCAAAAATCAAGCTCTTTAAGGCAACGGTGCCTATTGATTTTAAAAAGATCTGATTAAAAATCGGATTAAAGGGGGGTTGAAAAAAAAAATCAAAAACGAAAAGCGACGTCAATATGAAATTTTTTACTAAAAATTCAAACTTTATAAAATTGCAAAGCCTATTGATTCTAAAAAATAACTGATTAAAAATGGGGGGGGGGTATTAAAGGGGTCTGTAAAGAGTATAATATAGAATGACAAGCATGTTATTATTGTCCTTATTCTAAGGGCGTGGCAGCTAAACTTTTAGGTATTTAATAAATGAGAGCCACCCTAGTCCATGTAAGGGCCAGTGTTTTTCTTATATATCAAAAAAGTTGGTCAACATTATACCACATGTTTTTGGGTTAAAAATTGGTCAATTGAACCTTGCTTAGTTATTTACAAAACCGCAAACACAAAATGTTATAGGGTGTTCAATTTAAAAATTTAAATGAATTTATTTAACGTTGCTCTTAAACCGTTAAACATTTTTTTATGAAATTTTATACAATGACTAACAAAACCGAGGTAGAGGCAATCTTTTTTCTTGATTTTTTAGTTTTTAGAGGAGGCCACTGCCCTTTTGACCCTCCAAATTTTTGGGGCATAAAATTTAGTCAAAAATGGAACCCCACTGGAATTTAACATTTTCAAACATTTTTGTCTCTTAGTATTTGTTTGTAAATTGTTTAGTTTAAACGATACAGCCACTTATTTGTTGAATTTAGCAATGAAAAACTTAAATTACAAACGGAACGCTACACGTCACTACAATGTTTTTTTTTTGCAAAAAACTTCGCAATTATTTTTCCTTTAAATTACTACCATAAATTAGAAACTACCACGGTTACAACTTGATCAGATATCGTCGGCTGAATGCAAAAACTAGGTAACTTTTTTTTGTTGTTTCGAGAAAATCAATAAAATATTATTGGTAACATATTGGAATATTTCTGGAGAAAGCTTATTTAAAAAAAATTGAGAGCAAAAGGCAGCCCCAGGTTAAAAACGAAGTAAAGAGAGGCTTCCAGTTTATTACACAAACCAAAAAAGTGCCTGGATGGATATAAAGATATTTAGTGCATGATTTGAAGAGCAGTTTGTTCCTTTAGTGATTTTTGGACAAAATCTAACTCCCCAGAAAGACAATTTTACTTATGGATAATGCTCCGTCACATCCTGGAGAAAATCTTCAGGTAGGCGATATTATTGTTAAGTTTTTACCAACGTCACCTGCATTCTTCAACCCATGGGTCAATCTGTCCTAAAAAATTTAAAGAAAAAGTAGAGACGTTTGTTTCTTGAACATGTGTTACAGATGACAGAAAATAATGAACTTACTGCGACTCTGCGGCAGATTACCTTAAAAGATGTTATCTACTGGGTGAGTCAAGTTTGGAACTCTGCACAAGCATCCACAATATAAAAATCATGGAACAATAGCTTGATCCAGGATGATGACACAGAAGACGATTTGCCTCTAAATCAGCTAGCTGTAAGATTAAAGGATGCGCAAGATGACAGCGATTGTGAGGATGAGACGATCTTGTTTGATTTAATGAAACACATAAAGGGATGTGAAGATGTTACAATGGATTTATTCTGATGACCATGAGCAAGAGCTTTCTATAGAAGAAATAGCTGCATATGAATAAACTCAAGAGAAAGACCTGCTTGAAAATGAAGATGAAGAGCAAGAGTTTGTTGAAGGCATTTCTAATCAAGATGGTTTTGCTAATTTAGAAAGAGCCTTTCAGTATGTGGAGCAGCAATCTGAATCCACGCCATCAGATGTTTTGCTTTTAAAACGATTGAGAAATATTGCAGCAAAAAAAGCAAGCTCTTATTAATAAATATTTTTAATAATATACTATATTGTAGTAGAATTTTTTTTTTATTATATTAAAGTACATATTATATATTTTTATTTTTTTGCATACATATAAACATTTACACAGGTATGTACATACATAATATATGTATGTATTTATTTGGTTTTTTATTTTACTTTAGTTGTTCCTTTGTTTGTAAGAATTATTAATAAAATATTTTAAAGTAGGTATTGGAATTTATTTTTAAAAAGTATTAAAAAAATGTCCACATTAGCTCGGATAATCGGGAGTCTACTGTATTGTATTTTGAGGTTAATGGTTGTAATTTACTAATAAACCTGATTTCGATATTTTTGAAAAAGAAGAATTTAAATTGAAAAAGTATCGTTTAAACCAAACATTTTACAAAAAAATACTGAAGGACAAAAATCTTTGAAAATGGATGTTAATTTCAAGTGGAGTTTCATTTTTTATACCACAAAAAAGTTGGGTGAACAAAAAAACGATGACTTACTCGAAAAACTTACAAAAATCGAACCTCGGCTTTATTAGTCATTGTATTTTAACACGTCATATAAAATTTTATGAAAAAAAAAATCTTAAATGGTTTTAGAGCACCGTTAAAAAAATCATTTAAATTTTTAACTTAAAAACACTGTAACTTTTTGTGTGTGCAATTTTGTACATAATTATGTAAGTAAGGTTCAATCGACCCATTTTTGACCAAAGAATATGACCAATCATTTCGATACACCCTGTATATAAAGGTCTGAAATTTGTGCAGTTATCTTGTTCTTAAATTGTTAGTTTCTTAATTTGTATAGATTACATTTTAATTTTTTTCTATTCAGTGTGCAAATTGATTTACAACAATTATTTAAGCATTTAAGGAACACATTACAATGATAAATATTAATTTAAAAAAATTATACAAGTATTTTCATTCGCTTCGAGTATTATCTTCTTGAGCCATAGAAGAAAGTACTTAGTTAAATATCCGCTAAAAAATCTCATTATCCTAAACTTAATCGAATATCTAATACCTAAATTACTTTGGCACACCTGACAAAATGCATAAGGAACAAAAATATATTTTCTATAATTTATAAAGTATGTACTAACTATATCACTATAAATTTTGTTAGGTACGTTATCGACAAAGTTATTAAATAATTAATATTCTAAATATATAGATATTGTATAGTAGAAAAATTGATTAAGATTTTTTAGCGGATATATTTCTGGCATATTTACAAACGTACATTCCAACACGGTTAAAATTGTACCTAAATATTTTGTGATTTACAATATATTTAACTACCTTCTCTATATTCATCTTCATCTATCTTTCAGTCTTAATTTTTTGACTTGTGGCATTTTTTATAAAAAATATCTTTAAATATCATACAACTTACATTCATGAGCAGGTAAATTACCTATAAACAAATATTTTCGAAACATTTGAATAGTTATTTTTCTCGCAGAAATTTGCATAGGAAACGTGATATGGAATTACATATAAAACATTTCCATATGTTATAATAATTTTGAATATGCATAAACAATTATTTATTTTGTCAACGAGATATGTAGGTAACATTTATTGAATACACTTATATTAACGGTAATTGGATAATTAACAATATTCCAATATACTTAAACAGTCTGAAAAATTTTCTTAGTCCTAGCGATGCACACAAAATTTTCCAATCTTTTTTAAAATGATACAAAAGCATGAATCTCGGTCTGTTGATTGATTTATAGAAAACTTTTAGAAAAATGGACCATCTTCTAATAATACAATTACCAATGTGTCAAAAATGTTAACAATAATTATAAGTTTTAGGTATTAAAAAAATATTAGTAGTTTAATAATTTAAAAGAATATTTTAATTTTGTAAACATAGAAAATACATTTGGGGAACTCTTTTCACTCATAGGTATACATAAAACTGTGTGTCTACTTGGTGCTCTCTTTTTAGACATTTTCACTGCAGTCTAAAATGTACATCATTCAAACCTATATATTTTTTTAATTCTTTGTTCCAACTTTTTGTTTTTAACAGAAAATCTATATTTGTTTCCTTTCTTACTAGATAAACTTTTTAAGCAATATTTTATTATCTTTAAAAAACGGTATCACAATATGTATTTAATTTAGAATCTCGCGTAGATTTGCTTTAACGATTTATGCTTTTATTTAAATAAAAGTGACAATTGCAAAACTTGATTTGTAACGTTAGGACTATATAAGTAGGTACAGTAGAGAATTTGCAAGAATAAAATACAAAAAACGTAAATAATTTTTTAGTATAACAAAATCCTTGGATTAACACTAGATTACCGACAATTTTTCGGTAAAACAAATCGCTTGTCGGTCTGGAAACAGTTGTTGAATATTTCCCATCTTTCAAGAAGTATTTATGAAACATTTCAAAAGAATCGGTAGGAATGCTTTGTCTACAAAATTGTCAGCTACCCAGAACGTCGTTTGCGATTGCCCTTAGTAGGTACGACTATTACAAACCCTTTTTTGTCGTAAAATAGTTCCTTAACTATTATTACAATTTTATTGTCAGTCACCTTAATTTGACTTTTTATCTACACTCGTTTATGTACTTTTTTTAGTTATAGGTGACTCTTTATAATTAGACTATTTAAGAAACAGTTTCGTTTACGTCAATTTTATGTAATGGCGTTATTGATGGTGATCTCTCCACTTCTGGTGTAACAGTTTCGCAATTCGAACTGCATGGCGTCAAAATCGTTGGAATAAGGCTTGCTATTTCTGGGCTACTTATTCCTACTGTTTCTTCGTATACTCTTTCCTAAAATAATAGATACATATGCAACATTATTTTATTATTATATTATATTTAGTTAAAAGATGTGCAAATCAAAAAATAGTTCTCGACAGGCAGCTGAATAATATCCAAATTGTCATTAAAAAAAGAAGAATATAGGACTGTAAATTTGATAAAACAACATTGCAAAAATGAAGTAAAATGTGGAAAATGATTGCCCATCGTTTCCGTATCGTTTGCTCATTGTTTGTTCATTATTGCTCATAAAAAAAGCATTAATATTATATTTTTATTGGAATATAATATAACGATAGTCTAATTTATTTATAGTTTATTTATTTAAAACACAATATTTACAATTTATTTAAGACGTACTAATTAATTTATATAATACCTAGACACTAACTCACAATTCTAATTTATTTATTACAATTTAACTTTTTATTCCAATACTCTAAACTAAACTGTTCGCCGGTGAGTAGGGCTATTTATATCAAGTCCAACTCTGCTACGAGAAGTCTCTAGCCTTTTCTCGAGCGTCAGCGGCATTCCTAGAAAATTCCGTCGTTTCGAGCAAGCAGCTGAAGATCGCTTGCAATAGGCAGAGGAGGCTTAGGAATTTTCATGACAATAATTTTTAAAACGGGGTCTACTCTTAGAATACATATCTTCATTATTTTAGTGTCTTTTCGTTATTTAATTTTTTTATGTAGTTTACCCATATTTTTATAATAAACAGTATCTACTGAAAATACTTCATCGCAATTTTAACTCATCTATTGGAATTTTTTTTAATGGGCATTCTTCACAAAAACAATTCTCTTAGTGACAATTATTTTAGCATGAGTTTTCGGTGTAAAGCCATTTTTTTATAACAAATAAACACTGACAGTGAAATTGTTATCCGAGTTATAAATTCCAAAACTGAACTTTTATTTATTTAAATTATTTTTATACACTTAAATGGATATTCAAGACAACTCTGGACTAAAGCCTACACTAAAACTACCTTAAATAACAACAAAAACTAAAAATTCTTATTTAGCAAAGATAACCTAATTATAACATAAAAGAATCTATTATATTGACAGTATATAACCCCTCCCTCCTTAAATTATGAAACATATGGAGTTATTTTTCAAAACATTTTCTGTGAGATTTTCCAATTCAATTTCTTGGTTTTCTTTGTTTTTCCTTCTATATCTTCTTAAAAATTGTCTTCTGCATTTAATTAGTATTATAATAATTATGCAAATAAATTTTTTTTCCAAAAATTGCTTGAAAAAAGTCATTTTTAATTTATTTAATTGATTTTAATTGTTTAGATATTTGATTAATTTCATCTAAATCATTAAAATCTAATTTAATTATATTAGAAGTTTGATAAGATTTTAAAGTTTGAATTTTCTTCATGTCGATCTTCGGTAGAATGAATAGCTTTCTTCTGCTCAGTTGAATGTTGTTAGCATATCTTCTTTCATTGGTCAAAATTTCACAAGATTTTGGTGTATCTTGATTAATACATGTGATCTTATGTCTATATACTGGTTATGTTATACATGGTGTATCAACGATGCGTGGGTGAACGATAGCTGCTTCCCTATATGAGATAGGAAAAAATGCTTCAAATAAAAGTTGTAAAGGGCATTGAAAGCTACGTTCCAAAAATAACTACCAATATACAGGGTGTCCGATAAATGTATGAGTTATCGAAGTAATGATGTGAATTTATGCTTTTTCGAATGAAATAAATAAATAGTTATAGCTTTTATAACTTTTTTATACTTTCCTTAAGAATTAGATACATTTCCGATAAAAATCAAGTAGGCAAACCCTACATTTTCTAAAAGCTCATGGTATGGGCTATCCTGGTATGGCCTCATTTACAGGGTGTTCCATTTGAAAAAACTGAGAAAAGAGTGGTACCGAGTTTTGGTTGCCCCTGTATGGGAAAAGCGCCATTCGGTAAAATTATGAATAGGAAATGAAAATATACTATTTTCGAGAATATTCGGCAGAAAAAAAATGTATTCCAAATTATTGATTTAGAGATATTTGATGTTGAATAAACCCATTTTGTTACCTAAATCCCACCATAAATTCCTAACCACCCAGTATAAACCCATACAACCCTATATTTTTGAGAAACACTCTTCCAAAGAAATTTAATCGAGTAAAAATATATAGGGTGTTTCCTTTAAAAAAACATTACTTCGATAACTCATACATTTATCGGACACCCTGTATATTGGTAGTTATTTTTGGAACGTAGCTTTCAATGCCCTTTACAACTTTTATTTGAAGCATTTTTTCCTATCTCATATAGGGAAGCAGCTATCGTTCACCCACGCATCGTTGATACACCCTGTATTTTAAAAGAATTTGATCAGGTTTTGACAGAATTATTAAGACTTCATCGACTGCGATTTGTTCAAATTCGGACTCTTCTAAATTAACATTTATTAAATGACAATTTCTGAAAGTTTTTCCTTCATGAAGTTGGAGAGTATAATTATCTCTGGGAATGAAAGTCTGTTCACAATAATAGATTTTTCAACGGATGGACATTCTTCTCGTTCAAACTGTGTATCTTGATGTTTTTGTGCCAAATAGGGGTATACATTTTTTGGGTTTGGATCATCGGGAATAATTGATAAAATCAAATGTGTTAGTTTCAAAAATAGGAAAATGTATTGTAAAAATTAACTTCTGAAATCGATACTTGCGTTCTTAAGAACTAATATGTTAATATTTTTGTAAAATTTCAGAATTTGGTCAATATTATAGATTTTATGTAAATATTTTATCATGCTTTTTATGTCTGAGCTGGAAACTATAGAAAGTATTTAATTTCGCAAAGGTTACGGCATTTTCTTAATTATCTTTAAAAGAAATTGCCATTTGACAATCTAAACCAATTTGTGATATAATGGCCTGAAAACTAACATAACTTTCAAGTGTATCGATTCTATTATAATAAATAGCTGCTTGAATTTTTTTCCATATCAACTTTAAATTTTTCTTGATTTTTGTCTAGGATTGTGACTGTTTTATTATAATTATCAACAAGCCTTTAGTTGGTAGTTTTTGTAATTCTTTAAAAGTAAAATGTGGTCTTGAATTAAAATTTTGTAAATTTAGGTTATCATAAAATTATCTTTTTGATTGGAAAGAAGGGTTTCTTGATGCCGTTGACATCGGTTCTGATTTAGACAATTGGCTTTCTGGAATTTGTGATTTGGTTTCAAACATTTTTTGGTCTTAATGGTCCAAAAACTTGTTGATTAGTAAAGTATTTTTTTATTTGTGGGATTGATTGCACATTAATAGGTTGATAGGGACAATATATTGATTATTTGTTGGATTTTAATTAAAATATCTTTGATAATAATTTTGATTTCTGTAAACGGAATTTGTAAAAATCCAAATTATGTTTCATATTATTAACATTTCGATTCATGTAATATAAATTTTGTTTAGTATAAAAATTTGAATTATATTTTGACATATTCCTTTCATATGAATTATTATTAAGATATAAGGTTTTAAAATTTTTAAATTTAGAAACATAAGCTTCTTCAAGCGTCTTTTTTCAGATTGCATATTATTCTTTAATGTTTCTGTACATCCTGTGACGAATGTATTTAAAGGCGCCTTAACATAATTATTTGAATTTGTTTTTCCATTGGGGTTATGTTATGTTATGTTATGTTATGTTATGTTATGTTATGTTATGTTATGTTATGTTATGTTAGTATGTTATGTTATGTTATGTTATGTTATGTTATGTTATGTTATGTTATGTTATGTTATGTTATGTTATGTTATGTTATGTTATGTTATGTTATGTTATGTTATGTTATGTTATGTTATGTTATGTTATGTTATGTTTATGTTATGTTATGTTATGTTATGTTATGTTATGTATTATGTTATGTTATGTTATGTTATGTTATGTTATGTTATGTTATGTTATGTTATGTTATGTTATGTTATGTTATGTTATGTTATGTTATGTTATGTTATGTTATGTTATGTTATGTTATGTTATGTTATGTTATGTTATGTTATGTTATGTTATGTTATGTTATGTTATGTTATGTTATGTTATGTTATGTTATGTTATGTATATGTTATGTTATGTTATGTTATGTTAGTATGTTATGTTATGTTATGTTATGTTATGTTATGTTTATGTTATGTTATGTTATGTTATGTTATGTTATGTTATGTTATGTTATGTTATGTTATGTTATGTTATGTTATGTTATGTTATGTTATGTTTATGTTATGTTATGTTATGTTTATGTTATGTTATGTTATGTTATGTTATGTTATGTTATGTTATGTTATGTTATGTTATGTTATGTTATGTTATGTTATGTTATGTTATGTTATGTTATGTTTATGTTATGTTATGTTATGTTATGTTATGTATTATGTTATGTTATGTTATGTTATGTTTATGTTATGTTATGTTATGTTATGTTATGTTATGTTATGTTATGTTATTGTTATGTTATTTATGTTATGTTATGTTATGTTATGTTTATGTTATGTTATGTTATGTTATGTTATGTAATGTTATGTTATGTATTTATGTTATGTTATGTTATGTTATGTTATTGTTATGTTATGTATGTTATGTTATGTTATGTTAGTTATGTTATGTTTGTTATGTATGTTATGTTATGTATATGTTATGTTATGTATGTTATGTTATGTTATGTTATGTTATGTTATGTTATGTATGTTATGTTATGTTATGTTATGTTATGTTATGTTATGTTATGTTATGTTATGTTTATGTTATGTTATGTTATGTTATGTTATGTTATGTTATGTTTTTATGTTATGTTATGTTATGTTATGTTATGTTATGTTATGTTATGTTATGTTATGTTATGTTATGTTATGTTATGTTATGTTATGTTATGTTATGTTATGTTATGTTATGTTATGTATTTATGTTATGTTATGTTATGTTATGTTATGTTATGTTTATGTTATGTTATGTTATGTTAATGTTATGTTATGTTATGTTATGTTATGTTATGTTATGTTATGTTATGTTATGTTATGTTATGTTATGTTATATTGTTATGTTATGTTATGTTATGTTATGTTATGTTATGTTATGTTATGTTATGTTATGTTATGTTTATGTTATGTTATGTTATGTTATGTTATGTTATGTTTATGTTATGTTATGTTATGTTATGTTATGTTATGTTATGTTATGTTATGTTATGTTATGTTATGTTATGTTATGTTTATGTTATGTTATGTTATGTTTATGTTATGTTATGTTATGTTATGTTATGTTTATGTTATGTTATGTTATGTTATGTTATGTTATGTTATGTTATGTTATGTTATGTTATGTTATGTTATGTTATGTTATGTTATGTTATGTTATGTTTGTATGTTATGTTATGTTATGTTATGTTATGTTATGTTATGTTATGTTATGTTATGTTATGTTATGTTATGTTATGTTATGTTATGTTTATGTTATGTTATGTTATGTTATGTTATGTTATGTTATGTTATGTTATGTTATGTTATGTTAATGTTTATGTTATGTTATGTTATGTTATGTTATGTTATGTTATGTTATGTTATGTTATGTTATGTTATGTTATGTTATTGTTATGTTATGTTATGTTATGTTATGTTATGTTATGTTATGTTATGTTATGTTATGTTATGTTATGTTATGTTATGTTATGTTATGTTATGTTATGTTATGTTATGTTATGTTATGTTATGTTATGTTATGTTATGTTTATGTTATGTTATGTTATGTTATGTTATGTTATGTTATGTTATGTTATGTTATGTTATGTTATGTTATGTTATGTTATGTTAATGTATGTATGTTATGTTATGTTATGTTATGTTATGTTATGTTATGTTATGTTATGTTATGTATGTGATGTTTGTTATGTTATGTTATGTTATGTTATGTTATGTTATGTTATGTTATGTTATGTTATGTTATGTTATGTTATGTTATGTTATGTTATGTTATGTATGTTTATGTTATGTTATGTTATGTTATGTTATGTTATGTTATGTTATGTTATGTTATGTTATGTTATGTTATGTATGTTATGTTATGTTATGTTATGTTATGTTATGTTATGTTATGTTATGTTATGTTATGTTATGTTATTTATGTTATGTTATGTTATGTTATGTTATGTTATGTTATGTTATGTTATGTTATGTTATGTTATGTTATGTTATGTTATGTTAGTTATGTGTTATGTTATGTATGTTATGTTATGTTATGTTATGTTATGTTATGTTATGTTTATGTTATGTTATGTTATGTTATGTTATGTTATGTTATGTTATGTTATGTTATGTTATGTTATGTTATGTTATGTTATGTTATGTTATGTTATGTTATGTTATGTTATGTTATGTTATGTTATGTTATGTTATGTTATGTTATGTTATGTTATGTTATGTTATGTTATGTTATGTTATGTTATGTTATGTTATGTTATGTTATTTATGTTATGTTATGTTATGTTATGTTATGTTATGTTATGTTATGTTATGTTATGTTTGTTATGTTATGTTATGTTATGTTTATGTTATGTTATGTTTATGTTTATGTTATGTATGTTATGTTATGTATTATGTTATGTTATGTTATGTATGTTATGTTATGTTATGTTTGGGAATGGAGTGTTAATACATTGTGACCTTAAAGATCTATTGTGCCCCCTTCTGTCGCTAATGCAACAAGGAAATGTCTCAATGCCTATAACGACCCTTTCTATCTTCTCAAGGAAGTGTAGGATTTGGAGTGGCTTTCAAGTTAGGTAAATTTCCCTCTTGTATTTGATATCCTCCTAAGTATAGTGCCCTTGGATTCTGGAGTGCTACACATTCAGTTAGAATGTGAATGAAGGTTCCTTCTCCACTACTCTCAGTTTACTAAGGTGTCCTTTTAGTCGTCAAGGCCCGGTAAGGATCCCTGTTACAATACGTAGCCTGTTCTTGCTCAGGCAGATGCAGGCTTCCGATCTTTCCTGGTTATATTTACTCATAAGTATCTTAGCCTGTCTCAGCCCCGAGAGATTGTTCCAATTATCGCTTAAATTTGGATTATTACTAATTCGCAAAATAACGCTACTTCTTAATAGCTGCAATCTACTCGCAAAATTTATTAAATGTTCACCTATTAAGGGATTACTAAGTGTTAATTCTTGCACTGGGCAATCTAAAACTCTTCGATATTGTAACAAAGCATTTTTTAAACCTATCGAAGTAAAAATTTAAATAATAAAACTTTCCACATCTATAAATTTACTTTAGTGAACTGGTATCAAACATCAAAAGTTTTTACATTATCTATTTTTGACTTAAAAAGGCCCCAATTCACTTGTCTACGTTGATCAACTGGAAGTGTCATGATTAAACTACTTCCTTGACTATCTGATTTATTATCTTTTAACGATATATTTGCAAATTGCTTAAGCAAAGTATTAACTTCTAATTCACTCATAAATAAAATATGAAAATAGTTTCAAAATTATATAACAGTACAATATTTTAAAACCTCTAAATTATAGGAAAGGGCAGTTAAAGGGATATTTGGCAGTTACTAGTTTCTTCAATAATTGTCTAATTTTTGTTTCAGCTATCCCATCACGGGATGATGTCCACAGATGATTCTTCTATGGAGACGTCCACCAATTCTTCTTTAGGAACCACATTTAAGGAATTATAACTTCAAAGTCACGTAAAGTTAATATTCGGCAACATCGAAGACGAATTAACTTTTTTCACGACTCACGCTGTATCCTACTGACTGCGGCAGTTATAATTTCAAACAGGAACTTTTATTTTTTTAAAATGTTAAGTTATAAAAATACTTAGCCTTCACTAAAGCTACCTTAAATAACAAAAATAATAAGGTTCTACTATTTATAAACTAAAACGAGTCTATTATATTCACAATAAATAACTTTTTTTTTATTTGAATGCAGTCATATTCAATTCGAATAATGATTTTTTTCAGTTCTGTTTTTTTTTTTAGTAATTTGTGGAGATTGTGCAAAAGTCATTTTATGGGCAATAATAGGAAAACGATGGGTAATAATAGGCAAACGATGGGCAATCCTTTCACTCGCTTTTGGATCATTTTCGCAATTTTGTAGTGCCAAGTTCATTAATTTCCGACATACGTGATTTTTTTCATCAACTATTTTAGGTACATTTTCATTTATCACTTCCAATTTTGTTATTGTTTAAATGTTCTCATTTTTCTTGGTATGACATTTTGTCTTTCAATTTTTAATATAATCATTATAAACCTTTAACTTCTTCTTTTAATCAATACCTATTTTTTAGTAAAATATTTATTTGATTGAATTGTTGAACTATCAAAACTATTTTATCTTGGTAGTGACAGGGTTTATAATATTGGTAAGAGGTAATTGTAATTTTCTGTCAATATTTCAATATTTATTGTTTTTCAGTAATTAACTTGCGCTTGAGACTCTTTGCTACGTTATTACAAAAAAAATTGAGTTAGAAAGACGGCGATAACTTTTACTAGACAGAATGTTTAATAAGTAGAATAAACTTTACCTGCGTCTTGTCATATTTTAAATCTTTTCCATATAAATTTTCCATTAGTTGGAACTGCAATTGAGTCAGCATTAGGTGAATAGTAATTTGGATTCGAAAAACTTCTGCTGGTGCTGTACAAGTAATTTTTCTTACCCTTTTTAATTAAGAGAAATAGGACTAAAGTGATACATATTAATATTATAAATAACATGGGAACTAGTGTCATTATATAAAAAAGATTCGAATGACCTATCGATGGAAATCCAATGCTATCATCGAGTTTCGGAGGATCAAATCTAAAGAAGTAATCGTAATCTCTATCATCGTCTTCCTCTTCGTCACACTTAAAGGTACCGCCAGGCGGACATTTTAGTGGAACTATGTAGTTCGGTTCTGCAACAAAAATAAAATCCAAAATATTCAAAAGATTTACTTAAATGTTTGAAAACGAAAATATACCTGTTTTACAAGTAGAATCGTATTTATCTGGACATCCACAGGTATAATTTTTACGCCTAAATAGACACAAATGGGAGCAACCTCCGTTGTGGAGTGCGCAAGGATTCCATCCTTGCTGTCTTTTACTTGATACCATAGTTATACCCATGGCTGCATCTAGTTGTGGCCTGATTATAATTGAGTCTTGACCGGAATTTTTCTCTGCTCTTAAGACTGTTTTTCTCACCCAATCAGTCCAGTATAAGTACTCTTCATGCTAAAATAGACAATGGTAAAAATGGTCGTATTTTAAATCCACATAAAAATGAATTTACACAAGTAGAATTCATTAAACCTTAGGTAAAACCGTAACAAAATACTTACCACTGTTAAAGAAAATGGGTGAGTGGATTGAACACTAAGCATAACTCTATTATTTCCATGTAGATCCGTAGTTTCAATTTTTTCTTCGTTCATTTTTGCATCAATCCAATAAAGTCTTCTTTTATCATAATCTATGCATAAACCGATCGGAAACTTAATTTGAGTATAAATCAATTGTTTTCTATTTGAACCATCCAAATGAGATCTTTCTATCTTCGGTACTCCCCAATCAGTCCAAAACAGGAATCCTTTTCTCGGAAACACTGCTATCGATCTTGGATCATTTAGATATTGTCCAACTATCGTTTTGCGATGTGAACCGTCTAATCTAGCTACTTCTATAATTCTGTTTCCAGTGTTTGTCCAATATATGTTATTTGCTATCCAATCAACAGCTAGGCCATCTGGGCTCGATAAATTTTTATTAATAATTGTTTTTACATCCGACAAATTGTACATAGACACGCTTGCTATTACATTTTTTATCAATATCAGTGTAAAAATAAAGTTTCTTTTCCCAATGAAAGTCTACATCTATAACGTTCTCTATTTCGTCTACTGGCAGGGTAACATCCCAGGCATCATCTGTATCCAAACTGACTTGGTTTAACGAGTATCTTGTTGCGATCAACAGGAAAGTTTCTGGTATTAGTTCACACTGCTTTTCATTTGTTTTAGACTTGCTTAGACCTGTTGGACAAGCACATGAATAAGAATTTGCATTTCTTAAGCACAAATGAGAACATCCACCATTGTCATTACCGCATGCATTTTCTGCGGTGTTGTCACTTTGGACTGATCGGACATCCATTAGACCATCTAGTCTGTCCCGAATAATAGTTTTGTCATCGCCTGTAATTTTGTCTGCTCTGTGCAGGGATCTAGTTTGCCAATCAGTCCAATAAATGTGATTTCCCACAACTACTAGACCATAAGGATGAGGTACGTTGTTTAAAATTTTTCTTCTGTCTTTTCCCTTTAGATTGCTGGATTCAATTGTTTGAAGTTTTCCATCATTCCAATACAGTCTGCTTGCAGGTCGATCGATGGCTAAACCATTGGGCCAATTTAGATCTTTGGATATTAGAACTTCCCTAAAATCCAAAAGAGTTATCGACTGTAATTTAATTAGACAGTTATTACAAACCTTTGCGTTCCATCCATAAAAGCCACTTCTATTTTACCTTCATCTCCCCAATCGGACCAAAACATAAGACCGTGGTGGTAATGTAATGTAATTGCTCTTGGATTGTTCAAATGTCTATGGAATAAGATTTTCCTATTTCTTCCATCTAGCTCAGCTACTTCAATACTGTTTCTTTCGCCGTCTGTCCAATATATCTATAAATATTTATATAATTCAGATTTTTTTATAATCAATGTTTATCAAATATTTCTTTCATTATACATTATAAGTTGAATTAAATTTAATATTTTTCTGTCTAACAGTAGTATAACAAAATGCTTCCACAGTTCAATTTTTATTTTCAACTGCGCGACGCTACAATTGGATACACTAATGACATAAACACTGTCATGTACATGACATCTTCGATTTTTTTTAAATAGAACAACATATTTTTCTCTTCAATTTTATATTTCGCAATAATAGAAAGTTTTAAAAATGTATGTAATACAGTCCAAAATCATTAGTTTGTGAGACAAATGTTATGTCAGAAATTTTCTAAAATATTATTAAAAGAACAATTTTATTGAAACAACTGTAGGGGAAAGGGTTGTACCGTAGATCGGTTTTACCTTCGGACAGTTGCTCTCAAAATTCACCCACTCTAGCGGTAACTCTCAGAACTACATATTATGCTACCAACACTATCCTTTGTGTTGCCCACCAATACCATTTCAGTCATTATTCCGAGGTCAAAGTCAGATTTATCGTTTTCGTGCCCTGAAAGTAAAATTTTGCGGCAACTCCCAGCTCTTATATAAACAAGGTAAACATAATTTATTCTTTTTACCCCATGTAGTACTGTCGAAGTGTTGTTTAAGCAAACAGTCCATGCAAGAAAATATTGAAAAGTAATTTAGTTTTTTAACATTAAGAAAATGTGTGCTAGGTTGCACCTTAGGACACTTCGCGGGTTGTACCTTTTGACAAAATGAATTTTTAACATTAAAAATAAATAACTTTTACAATAAATTGCAATTTCACCACTGTTACAGATGAGCAGAAGTGCCACGCGAAGAAAGAGGACAAAACCAGTAGCAAAAAATGTTGAGGCAGCTGTTAAAGATGTTATCACAAACAGTCTGCGAGAAGTGGCGAGAATATATGGTTTATCAAAAAGCACTCTGGTCAGGCACATAAAAAAATACAAGTTGTCTGGTCAAACTGATTTCAAATACGAAGCCAACAATGCACCGTTGAGCAAGAAGAAGAACTTCTTTCATATATTTTAAAGGCTACGCAATGAAACTTTGATTTGACCGTGGAAGAAATGAAGAAATTAGCTTTCCAATATGCCGAAGCAAACAAAGTCAAATATTCAAAAAAATGGAATGAACGTGGATACGCAGGAAGACAGTGGTACCGAACTTTTCGTAATTCATATAAAAACAGAATATCTCTTCGAAAACCGGAGTCTACTAGCCTAGGTCAAATTGCATCATTCAACAAATCAAATGTTGAAATAATTTTTGGGAAGCTCCAAAAAATCTCTTAAATAAGGTACTCCCTTCAACCTCAAAACGTGTGGAACCTTGACGAAACGGGTTGCTCTACGGTTTACACTCCGTCACGTGTGCTAGGTAACATAAAGGCGAAACAAATTGGAGCAGCTACCTCTGGAGAACGTGGAATAAATGTAACGGTGATAGCTTGCGTTAATACTGCTAAAACATTTATTCTCCCAGCCATCATATTTCCTCGTGTTTATTACAAAGAATACATGATTAACAATGCACCATCCGGTACCCTTGGTATGGCAACTTCTAGTGGCTGGTTCAATGCAGAACTATTTGTGAAGTACCTGAAACACTTTATCTCTATGGTCAAGTCTTCTAGTGGCATTAAAGTGTTGCTTATTATGGATAACCACGAAAGTCACCTTTCATTGGAAGCGATAAATTTGGCGAAAGAAAACGGCATCGTTTTTCTCACGTTTTCCCTCCACACTAGCCATAAACCCCAGCCACTGGACCGGTCTGTCTTTGGGCCTCTCAATGCCTTTTGTAACAAAGCTCCAAAGGATTGGATGATCGACCACCCCGGAAAGCCTATTTCTATTTACGACGTATCTGCATTGTTGGGAAAAGTATTCCCTCTGGTATTCACGCCAAATAACATCACCGCGGGATTCAGGGCTGCTGGCATCTGACTTTTTAATGCAGAAGTGTTCGAAGACGATAAGTTTTTACCTGCTGAAAAATGACAATTAGACCATACCCTGCAGCAGAAGCAGCAGCAGCTGAAGTCCAACTGCCGGATGAAAGTGAGGAGAGGCAAAATAACAGAGAACAATCAAGGAAGACACATTCAACAATCTTGTGGTAGAGGACGAAAACCTGGGAGGTGTATGATTCCCACTGACACGCCAGAGAAGCAGAGAATTTAAGAGAAAAAGAGTAAAAAGGCAAGTTATTCCCAAAGAGAGAAGCTGCTAAAAGAGCTGTAGAATTTTCATCATCCTCATCTGAAGAATTACCTGACCTTGGCGATAGCTCAGGAGGGAGTCGGTTCCATTCTAGTTCTGAAGATGAGGATTCGTCTAATTTCTTTCCAACTAGCGAATATCAGCTGATTTTCTCCAAAGGCAGCTGGGTTCTAGTTAAATTTCAAATCGCCGGTAAAACTAAAGGAGATGTTTACTACATTGAATTAGTAGTGGAACAAGACAAATCTGGACCAGATGTGACCATAAAGTTTCTCAGGAAGCAAATAACCCATTTTGTATTCCCCAGGCGTCGACGACATCAGCAGTGTTAATCTGTGCAATATAGTGAAAGTATTGGCTACTCCAACAATACGTCATGGATTTCAATTCTTTAACATTTCATTTCCACAGGATCTTAATTTGAAATAAATTGTATTCAGTATAAATTATGTTTAACATATTTTTATAATAAAAAACAAATACATACCACCTAAAGTTATGGCTTATTTTGACATAATAAAAACTATGATATTCAATTATTTACAATGTCCCAAGGTAGAACCCACGGTGTCCCAATCTAAAACCACAGGTTGTACCATAAGACAAAAATCACCAAATGTTGAACAATTAGTACTGGTCTACACATTGATGCTGGCAAAATTGATTGTTGGCTAAGAGTTGCCTACAGTTATAGCTTCTGCAGAGCTAAAAGGTTTTTGTGTTCGAACGAAAGATGTCAGCACAATAACTGGAGAAGTAAAAAATGTCGCATTTCCCCTATTAATGCATATAAAAGATGTTAATAAAAATCTTCCATATTTATTAATCCAGTCTCCACTACTTTCAATAAAATTTTAGATTTAAAATTCCTGATATAACATTTGTCTCTAATTCATAAACCAATGACTTTGGATTAAGTATTACGTACATTATGGAATCGTTTATTATTGAGAATTCACAAATAAAGAGAAAAATATGTTGTTTTTATATTAAAACGTAAGTAGTTCTTTTTAATTCTCAATTACATCTGACAAAATTAGTTATTGTGGTCTTTAGCGGAGTTATAGTTTATAATAATCACATAATATAAAAAGGTATAATAACTAATTTAACATAACATTACCTTCCGTCCAGTTGAATCTATAGCAAGTCCATCTGGAGCTTCTAGTTCGTGCATAATAACAACTTCAATATTTTTCCCATCTGGCGTAGCTTTCTGTATGACATCTTCTGCAGTATCTGTCCAATAAATTTCACCAGTTTTCCTGTCTACGTCAACTGACGTCGCTATTTTGAGCTTAGGGAAGGGCAAAACTACATCGGCCATGTACGGCACATCCAGAGATATCTGACGGATATCCATCCGATGAGCGAATATTAGATAGTTAATCGGGCCTTTTTCACAAGTTTTTCCATCCTCCTAAAATTATTAAATTAAGTAGAAACTATATTAAATTTTATTTGTTAAATTACGGAAACAACTGTAATTCAGAAAAGCATTTCATCTACTTGATGGAAACAGGCTATCAATTTCATCTATGTCGTAGAAGAAATAATAAAAGAGTACCATAATTGGAAATAAATGAAATGTTTGATTTGATTTTAAATGCAGTATTATTAACTTACCCCTAACGTTATTCCCGTTGGACAGCCACAAGAATGACCTCTTGGTTTCAGTAGACAAAGATGCGAACAACCTCCGTTATTGCTGTTACAGGCATGCTTGAAATATTTTCTGTTCCTGTGAAAAACCCGTACATCCATTAAATCATTCATGTTACTTGATAAAACTGTACGGTTTTGACCATTAAATTTATTTGCCCTTTCTATGCTTTGCGTTTTCCAATCTGTCCAGTAAATATGATCTCCAAATAAGTCTAGTCCAAATGGATGTGGTAAACTATTTCCACCTAAAATTATATAAAAAAATATAGAAGAATGTTTGTCTTTTTTTTTAAATTTATAGGCAGAAATTTTGAAAAGTACAAAATCTAATGTGGACATCCTTTGTCCTTTTTTTTATAATTCCATATAATAGGAAGTATCTCTCGTATGTATGTGTAGCTAGTTGCCGTTTGTAATTTTATATTAACTTACCTAGCAAAATTTTTCGTTTAGTACCATCCAAATTGGCAAATTCTATACTTCTGGTACCGGCATCAGTCCAATAAATTTTATTCGTAAGATGATCTACTGCCAAACCATTTGGCCAAGTTAAGTTGGTATTTGCAATAACGGATCTGTTAGTGCCGTCCATATTAGCACGCTCAATTTTCGGACGTTCACCCCATTCTGACCAATACATTACTCCACCTAAAAACAGAAATAATTCATTATGTTTAATAAATAGAATTAGACAAGTTCAGTATTTTTAATTTGAAAACTAAATAGTAATATTAATTGTACTTATTTTAACCTTATCTTAGTAATTATAATTTGGTACTTACCTTCAGGGTCAACAACAATATCTCTGGGTTTGTCTAGTTCCTCCCAAATTAGTAATGAACGCATGTTTCCATTGGAATGAGCTACTTCAATTCTGTCAGTACCAGCGTCTGTCCAATAAATTTTATCAGTAGCCCAATCAAAAGATATACCAGCTGGCGAAACTAAAATTTTCACAAAATTTTTATTAATTTCAAAGTATGTTATGGATTATTAACCATACTAAGTAATTTAATATTTTCACTCGTAATTTTTTCTTTCTACCTCAATAGGGAGCTCATCATCTCACGCTAAATGTTCTTCCCACAACCGCCGTAGGAGAATCTTTGATAAAATTATAGAAGGTCCTAGTAAACCTAGAGGGTCAAATACTCTCGAAACTTGAGATAAGACTAATCTTTTCGTGCACTTTGACTTTTCATTAAATTTTATGCAAAACTTTATTTTGTCCTGACTTGGGGCTCAATACACACCTAAAGTTTTAATTTGCTCCTTTTTACCAAAATCCTTTTGGGAAGCAGATTTATCAGATTCTTTAACTCTTAAAACACCTGGGTCATTGGAAATCCATTTTCTCAATTTAAAACCTCCAGATTCCAAAATAGTTGCTACTTTGTTACACACCTCTATAACTTCAGAAGTTCTTTTTGTTCCAGACAACATGTCATCTACATAAAAATCGTGCAATATTACTTCTGAGGCTTTAGAATTTTTAACCATATTGTCTAAACCTAATTGTTTCAGATATCTAATAGCCAAAAAAAGGTGCGGATTTAGTTCCACATGTCACCGTATTTAGGGTGTACTCATAGAGTTCTTCTTCAGGCTCACTTCTCCAAAGTATTTTTTGAAGTGATCTCTGACTGGGTTCAACAACTACCTTACGGTACATTTTCTCAATGTCCGCACAAACAACAATAGGATGTTTTCTAAATCTAATCAAAATTAACCATAAATCATCTTGGATTTTAGGCCCAGTATGTTGGATATCATTGAATGATATTCCTGAGTCAGTGTTTGCAGATCCGTAAAAAATCTCTCTTAACTTTGTCGTGGTAATTTTCTCATTTAGGACACCATGGTGTGGCAGGAACTATGATATTGTATCTGCCTCCTGATCTAAGTCAATTTTTGACATATGTCCCATGTCCTTATATTCAGTCATAAAGTCAACAAAGCATACTACTAAATTTTTATTATTTTTCCATTTTGTTTTAATATTGTCGAGTAAATGTAGTAAACAATAAAACAAATGCACGAATGGACATACATGGCGTGGACCGATGCCCCCCTTCGCCCCTCTTGGAGCCGTCCTTGGTAATAATATTAAAGAGACAGTTTTCAATTATTTAAACGATCTAGATAATTTCACAAAGCTTATTTTTTACGTAAAATATTATAAATCGAAAAATCCTCTTACGTTTTTTTTTTGTTGGGTAATCTGTATTTTAATTCAGTTATTAAATATTCAAACATACTCAGGAAGTTCTATTTAAAATTTTTATTTTTGTACCTTTTAATAGGAAATTAATTCGTGTATAGTTAAATCAAATACAAGTCTACTTACTTATATTTTGGTGTATAACGACTTCTTGAAAAGTCCCGTTCCAAAAAGCTCGATTTATTGAATTTTTTTCAACGTCTGACCAATAAATGTAATCATTTATAGAATCCCAAGAAATAGCTACCGCCGATTTGATTCCATCAATTGGTATAACCTGCAAAAATATTATTTAACTTAATTGAAAACATTTTTGTATACGTCGATGATGTTTTGACAAAAGGGCGTAAGCGACAAAATTAGCCAAATTGAGATATTTATGCGAAATTTAACCTTGCAATATTCCACTTCGATAGCATATAAAAATAACTGTCTAAAATCCCGATCGCAAAATATTTCGATTTTAAATATTGTAAGCGACAAATTTTCCCGCGTAAATCTCGTTTTAACGTTAGTAACCACCGTCCCGTCCATAAGAGCCTACGTGTTCTATTCCTAGGGCTTGTAAAGTGGCAAAAAAGTTAAGGTAACAGTTAGATATTTTGGTTTTAAAATACACAATTGCACGTATAGAATTTAAATATTATATTGAAGGTTATTACACACTAATATCTCTTTAATAATTTTACTACAACGTACAGTGTCCCTTAAGCCTTTTTGATAAAGTGTCATTCCGCTATATATTACAATAATACATAAAAGCTGTTCTATTAAATAACAAAAACAGTATTTTTAAATATATATTCTACAGTATGTCGCTAATGTATGGAATAAATTCATTATTTCTAAAATAATCGACTTTTGAAAAAAATCCAAAAACAGGTCAATTTTAATTTTTGAATCGTCATCACATGATGTAGATGTAACGAACATTACGTCACCAGTATTACCGTGGTGACGTAATCGGCAATTTTTTTAAATGCAACCATGTGTCTCAAAACACCTCATTGGAAAGGTCTTCTAATCGTCTTTACAACGATGTAATTATTTGAATATTTATTTCTACAGGGTCGACCAAAGTATATACTGTATATTATTACATTAACGTCTTTGCTTTTTAAATTGATTTTAAAAAATAGATTTAAATTTTCGTTTCAAAATGTCGCTTGGCGCTTAATCTTTTTCTAGGATGTCTCGTGAGCGACAACTTGTTAATGTTTGTTTCGATTTTTTAAGTATTTGATCATTTTCAACTTTCAAACATTTTAAAATAGTGTATTATTTTCTTTCGATATAACTTTTCTTAATTTATTATGGGGTTCTGAATCGGTGGTATAAGCTACAGATACATTACTGGGTAGTGAAACAAGAAAAGTGTAAGGGAATTGTAACTGCCATTTTCTTACTATAAGAAGAGCTAATTAGGTAATTTCATTTTTGAAAAGAGGATATTTTTTAAAGGCGTAAGCGACAAAAATGGTCTAATTTTATGTACTGTAACTTATTTATCATAATTTTTACTACAAACGTACAAAACAAATGAAAATATAAAGTTAAAACATGTTTTTTTGCATCTAGTACATTACCAGGTTCAAGCAGCTTACGCTTTTTTGACAAAATACCGTCGACATAAAAATATTATTTAGTTTTTTTTTAAATCCAGGGTGGCACACATTTTAATATTAATTAATATTTTTTCCCTGTGAATTTTTATTTAATTGACATAGTTTCTTGTAGTATTTGATGGGTGCCGTATTAGTAGTAATTTAATTTCTGTTTAGATGATGATGGGTAAGGTTTTTCAATCATCTTTAAGTCACCCCTGAGCCCCATGGCAAATAATAACTAGGATAAAGATATATAATGCTTAGTATTCCATATTATACACAATTTAACAGACCCCTTAACCTCCATTTTTAATCAAATTTATATCAGAAACAATAAATTTTATGCCCTTATAGAGCTTGATTTTCCTTAGGATTTCAAGTTAACATTTTTTGTTTCTGAATTAGGATTTACTCCCCAATTATTATTCACGTTTTTTTTGTTAAAATCTTCATTTTCTTATAGAGCTTGATTTTTACATACATTTCATGTTGATATCGCTTTTGATTTTTGATTTGTATATTTTTAAATTGCAACCCCCTTATCATCCCATAATCATTGATTCCTAAAAAAATCTAAATAAATTGGGGGTTAAGGGGGGGTTAAAATACTAAAAAATTATTCAAAATCAAACAATAATATCAACTTGAAATTTTTAGCCAAAATAAAGCTCTTTAACAAATCAAAAACTAAAAGCGATATCAACATGACATTTTTATTAAAAATAGGGAATAAATAAATAAATAAAAATAGGATAATACAGGGGATTGAAATATTGAAAAAAATCCTAACTAAGAAACAAAAAACGAGATACCAAAACAGTGATTTTAAAAAGTAATCATAAGTTTTAATACTAGATCGGTTAAAAAGTAATATTAAAATGTAGCGCGTATCTGGAATTTGTACAGCACCGTACTTAGTTTAATTATTAATTATTTTTACGATTAAAAATGCTTTGTATGTTTAACATAAATCTTATTGAATTATAATAAATTCACTAAAGATGCTACAACGTAAAACTATTTTGAATTCATTAATTTTATGTGATTGTTTGGCTTGCGTCTAATTATCGGTGGCCCAAAAAGATACTCATATTTTGGGTAAAATTTAAAAGAAATGGTTTAAACTATCTAAGGTTTAAAGAAAAGCGCCGTAATAACGTAAATTTTTTGGTGGGATATTTTCAATCAAAAAAAACTTGAAATTGTCAGCATTACTATAAAGTGTAAGCGATGTTCAACTTTCATAAAAAGAAACTGAACTGCCTATACTTACCATTTCGTATTGATGTTGATAGCTGCCATCTAAATATTTCATTCTAAGGTCTTTCTTTTTCGCAAACAATAAAAACTTATCCGGCTTTTGACATGATTTTTTATCTGATTTTAATTTTTGTCCCATTTGACAAACGCATGTATAGGAATTTTTATTTGGTAAGCACATATGCGCACATCCGCCATTATTATTACCACAGTGGTTGTTGTATTTAGGCTGTCTCTGCGGATGGTAGACGTGAATGTCCATTGGAAAATACAGTTGAGTATGTAAAGGACGTAATCCTGCTCCGGTAAGTTTATTTGCTGTCGAAATAGCTTTCGTGTGCCAGTCCGTCCAGAACAGTGCATCTTCGAATATCGTGATGGCAAATGGATGTGGCAACCCCTTGCTAATAACTTTTCTTCTATTCGAGCCATCGAAGTTTGAGGTTTCTATCACGTTATGTTTAGCATCTGCCCAATATATTTGATTAGACGTATAATCGATAGTTAGTCCATTAGGCCAAAATACTGATTCGGTAATAATACTTTTTCTATTTGTTCCGTCCATTTCAGAACGATCTATTTTCGGATTGGGACCCCAGTTTGTCCAGAAAAGGATGCCTTCGCCTGGATGTACCGCAATAGCTCTGGGTTTGTCTACTTCACTTGCGGCGATTATTGATCTTTGTTCTCCATCCAAAGTTGCAACTTCAATTCGTCTAGTACCAGAATCTGTCCAAAATATCAATTCGTGGATCCAGTCTAACGCAATACCACCAGGAGACTCCAGTCCAGATTTCACAATGTCTGTAAATAGGTGATTATTAGTTCTATCGAACATGAAGAAATGTTTAATAGTTTATTCTTTAAATATGTTGTTTAATTGTGGAATTTTGTATAGCAAAATTGAAGTAATTTATTATTATACGCACATCTAGTTCAATAGGGCCACAACTGCAAATTTTTCATTTTTGGGGTTATGGCGGTAGAAAATTGCCTACATCTGATTGAATGGGATGCATTAGTTTGGCCTTCAAGTGAGATACAGCCCCATTGCATTGATGAATTTTTTGGTGCAATACAGCCGCAACTGCCAGTTATGGCGATATGTTACCAAAACCACACCAAATCAATCGATGACAAATTTGTTATATGACAAAATTGTTAGGTTATGGTGTCGTAATGACAGTATCGATTTTGTTTTTGTAAAAATATCATGTTATTGGTGAAATTAATAGTTATTATCAAGGACCGGCAAAAAACATTTTGCATTTTTTTGCATTTTGTTTTTCAACAAATTAATAAATATTGCAGTTTTTCAAATTTTCCACACATTTGGTATATTTTTTTTTTTATTAAGTCAGAAATGTTTCATTAATTTTTTATTTTTAGTCCCAAAGGTTCAGTTCCAAGTAAAGTATCAGTCGTAAACTTAGCGGGTGGTTATAATTCGTTTCTTAAGAAAAATATTTAAATGAGGTAATTTAATTTTATTACCTATAGTTAGAGATTAAACCCTTATCTGGCCCGTAGGATAACATTACGGATGATTTGACAATTTCATTGGAAAAACCTGTAAGCTGATTTTAAGATGTTCATTTCGTGTCTTGTTAGGCCTTGTCATTAATGATTTAACAGATTTTTCTTCAGATGCTCTATCAGAGTCTAAAGAGTTATTTAAAAATGAACAACTACAACATCAAATTGTTTACATCAAATCAAATTATTCTGCAAAAGTACTTGTGCAATTACAAAATACATCAATATCTTTAGTTGAAGCTGTTGAATTAATAGCATTTAAAAAAGTTCAAGGAAAAATAGGAAAAATTATTTTAAATAAATATTACGCTTTGACTTTACCCCATTTGAATTATGCCCCTATTACATCTGTAGACTTAGAACGAAGCTTTTCGATGTATAAGCATATGTATTATACGGATAAAAGACAAAACTTTCTTGTCGAAAATTTTGAAAAAAGTTTAGTTGGCAATGCTTTTAACAATTTCAATAAATAGGTATTTGTTAATATAAGTACTATGTTATTATGTATGCTAGTGTTTAGATAAGTATTATGTAATTTTAGGTGCCTATTCAAGATAATGGTAAATAAAGTATGTACTTAAAAACTAACTATTGTTTTATTTAAATGTGATTATATCCAACCTCACACAAACCTAAAGTGAGGATTATTAATTATTATTATTAATGTTGCATTTTTACATTGCATTTGTTTTTTTTAATAATAATTACGTTTATTTAGGAGTAGAATAACTCACATTTTATCATATATAAAACAAACAGTAATACGTCTAAATAAACAGAACATATTGTTCAAATATATGACACTAACTTAAAATGTTTCATCTGTGTAACCCATTAAGACCATAAAGGTTGAGCATGGAGTACACCGATGATTTAAAAATATTTTACATAATGTTCTCTACACTAGACCTATAAATAAAGATAATGTTATCTATTCTACTTTGGTTGATTGCGTTTATTTTATTTTAATATTAACATTTTTTTTCTTATTCATTTTAAATAATTTTATCTTTAAATAAATAACTAATGATTAAAAACAAAAGTTTATATCAGTTTATATCATTTTCATTTTTTAAACAGAACTTACTGTTCAAGTACAGAATACATGACAATCAATTTAAGAATTTTCATCATCATTAAGGACATAAAGGTTGAGCATGGAGTACGGATGATTTAAAAATATAATATAATACATTATACAATTTTTTCTACGCTTAAAACTAGTATACATAATTTTCTCTGATTCTTTATAGCTTGTTAAATTTATTTTATTTTGATTTTAAAGTTTATTTTTTTAACAATATTTATTTTGTTTTTTTTTTTACTCATTTTCAATTATTTTATCTATTTCTTTAGAACCTAGTATTTTTATATAAGTTTTAAAAATCGATTTTAGGAGATTAGTTGAGTTTAGTTTTCTTATATAAATTTTATACATATCAGGTAGGAAGTTAAATAAGCGGGGTGCTACAAAATCGAAATATCTTGTACCCATGGTTTTTTAGCAGTATATAATCTTTTGTTTTAGTTCTAGTATGATAATGATCGCCAGGTGTTTGCAGGTAAGTGCGGTTTTGAAATAAATGAATGATTAGACTAAAAAGATATAGCTGCCTCAAAGACATTACATTTGTTTCTTTAGTGTTAAATCTTAGATTTTTACAATATATAATTTTTAAAATTTTTCGTTGTAGGATTTCGACCTGTTCTATATGACTTGGCAATGTACCTCCCCAACTTATGATGGCATATCTGAGACGCGATTCCACAAGTGCATGGTAAATCGTTTTTAGATGTAAGTTTAGTATTGTTCTTATATATTTAAATTTATATAATAAAAACCTTAATGTTTTAGCTACGTCCGATAAATGTGAGGTCCATCTTAAATGGGAATCTATTTTTATACCAAGATATTTAATTTCAGATTTTAAAGAAATTTCAGTAACCATATTGTTGTCCGTAAGAGTAATTTTATTATAGTGGTAATTTGTGTCTATAACTGGTAAACGGGACGATATAGGTTTTGTTGTAGTTAACAGCATTTTGTGTTTAAATATATCAAATATTTTTTTTACATCAGTTTCTATTATATTTTTTAATTTTTCCCACGTTTTGTCACTATACATTACAACAGTGTCGTCTGCAAAACCAATTACCTTTCACGAATAGTTAAAAGAAAATATATCATTAATGTACAAATTAAAGAGAATTGGTCCCAGTACGGTACCTTGAGGAACTCCAAACGATACAACTTTTTGTCTACCGAGTTCTCCATTTATCCTAACATGTTGTTTTCGGTTAGTTAAGTAGTCTTCGAAAAATTTGTATGGGAGTCCCCGTATCATCCAAGACGCCTACTTTTGCATATTTTTTGTAAATTAATTGTATTAAAATGCGCATTTTTTTATATTTTTTGGTGCATTTTTCCGATCCTTGTTTATTACACGAGTATTTATAAAAATAACGTGTAGTGTACATTATAATGTCCAGCGCAAGAAGAATTCTTGACCTAGCTAATAAATTGCTAATTCTGGTGATAATTTTCCATAATATTTACAGGTCAGTCCCCATATTATTTATCGCAAGCAATACCCCAAAAATCTTGATACTTCTTTTATAGCCAACAACTTCATTTAATAATAATTTAAATATCGAACATCATAACACACTTGCATTTACTCAGGTACGTATTATTTCCTCCTTATAATTTAACTGAGATTTAAATATCAATATCCATATTAATTCTATATAATTGGAATATAAAATAACGAGCTTCGTCAAACGCAAAACCTTTTTTGCCTGTTCCTGTTTTCTTACCAGTTCAAGAAAATTATAATTATAATCATAGGAATACATGAATGGGGCTATTCATAATGAAGATGAAATAGACTGAGGTTTATTTTTCTGTAATTTAAGTTAGTAGAATTTACTAATTTAGCGTAAATTTTAGCTTTCTTCAAATGCACCACCACTTGAAACAAATAGACAATTAGAATTAGAATATTATAATGATAATATGAGTACAGAAGCAATTGAATCAGAAAATACAGAAGAATATTTACGGGATGCTGAGGAACAACGTTTTGAGCATGAGCCGGTAAATTCAGATGACTCGGTGGTTGACTAATTCAAGCACCGGTAGTGAAGAAGAAGATGAAGATGATCATGAAGGTAGAACAGAGGGGCAAACTAAAAATGAATTACAAGAAAACAATATGGGTAACAATAATGAACCAGACTAAGAGGCCCAAGGAAGGATTTTCCGAGAGAAAGCTCGTAATCCAAATCAGTGGAAGAGAAATCTGAAGAAATTAAAAGTCAACTCTGGTTTGCTATATATAACAGAAGGTAACAAGAGAAGAGTGGAAGGACTTTAAAACCTTTTTGTGGCGCCAACTGTCGAACAAAATGCAATACAAATTTTAGTCATGAAGCCAAAAACTAAATTCATTCACGTTTTTGGAATCTAAAAGACAACGCTCTGTAAAGGCAATTTGGAAAAACTTTGTACCAAATACTGAAGAACTGTCGAAAAAAGTAGGCGCGGTGTTAATTTATCATACTTCCTAACATTAAATGGAATAAAGGTTAAGGTATGCAAAAAGTTTTTTTATGATATAGGCGATAAATTTATAAGAACGATATGGAAAAAATACAATTGAAAAGATTAACTTCTAAAATAAATTTTTTACAGCCAATAATGAGGGAACCCAATATTGATTTATTAAATTGCAAACATTTTCCATTTTTGCACATGTGGCACTATTATTGGACTAGATGTGCGTGTATTAGAAAAAATAAAATTTGTGTTTTTATGAGTGTCCAATCATTGGATAATAAAACTAGTGCTTTACACAAATTTATTTTTTGTCGTTGGCACTGCTATTGTGTAGTTCATTCCAGATGTATGATACGGTTAGATATATTCTCTTGTAGGGCATTCCATATAACTCACCTATAATTCCCGTTCCATTAATGAAAGCTCGTCGTATTACAGACATAGATACATCGGTCCAAAATATGTATCCTTTCTCGTAGTAGTAATCAAGAGAGATAGCATTATGCAGTCCTTTGAGGAGAGCCGTGTACTTGGAGTTACTTAATGAAACCTAAAATAAAATTTACATTGCTGAAAATACATTAATTAATTTTGAAAAAGGATCAATAAATTTTTCATTATTTTGGAATAAAAAAAGTATGTAAATCTATGAAAATTATTTTTGTTGGTTCTTTTATGGAATCTACTTAAGTATGTTGTATATAAATATAGAAAAAATAAACATATTATATTGTAAGGCTTCAGTAATATTCTTTTTATCTCGACCTAAGAAATAGTTGAATAGTTACCTCTCTTATGTCGACTCTATTGGCAAAAAGTAATGTAGGTGGAGCTCCCATCGCTTTGCAAGTTCTTAAATCTGGTCTAAGTACATATCCCGTCATACATCCACATTTAAAACTTCCAACCGTGTTATTACACGTTTGGGAACATACTGGATCTGTGGCGTATAAGCATTCATTGATATCATCACAGCTACAAAAATCAATAATTTACGGCTATTAAAATTAACAATTTCATACTTAATGGAAATATAAAATAAAACAAAACTTAATAAAAAAGGGATGAATAATTTAAAATATGAAATCTGAAAAAATTTGTACCTAAATCCATCTTTAGAGAGCTGGTAACCGTTCAAGCAGGCACAACCTTTTTTACCATCAGCTGTGGTAATACAAAGTTGACTACACTTTGTGTCCCTTTCACATTCTCTTTTAGATGGACAATTTTCTTCATCGTCTCCTTTGGGGCAATCTTTTTGTCCATCGCATCTATGTTTTTTGTTAATGCAAGACTCAGTTTTATTGTTATTTGAATCTAATCCACTACAAGGAAATTTGGCCTCATCGCAAACTATCTCGCACTTTGATTCATCTTCACCTTGAGAACAGTCTTCTAATCCATCACATGCCCAAGTTTGCTAAAATATTTTTATTTTATAAAATAATCATCATATGTACCTCAAATAGACACAGATAAGCCTTATAATACCTTACATAACAAACATTGTTTACAAGTCATAGTTTTAACATTTTTCAATTCAAATTTCAACACAATTAGAATTATCCAGTCCAATTGATGAGCAGTGTATAATGTAGAAATAGTTTAAAAATAAACTTACTAGTATACAAGCTCCATTATCACAAGTAAATTCATCAGAAGAACATGCCTTTGTAACATTGTAATCACAATTTACTTCATCTTCATTATCTTCACAGTCTTTTTGCGTGTCACATTTGTACCTTTCTGGGATACATTTTCCACTATTACATCTAAAAAATGTATTTTGTTAATTAAAATCAAGAAACGATAATTATTATCAAACGGGGAGGTAAATGCTGCAACTAAATTTTGTTCTGATCGATTACTAAGGAAAAATAGCATGTGTTCTTACTTAAATTCTCCAGTAACGCAGGTGCCAGGTATGCTAGGACAATCATCTTCATCGCTCCAATCACTACAGTCATTATCACCATCACATTTAAATTCAATCTTAATGCATTTATGACTTGTACATTGAAATTCAGCTTCGTTACAATAGGGTGGAACAATATCTAAAAATTTGTATTCATAAACAACTGGAACATAGTTTTTAAATTTTTTAAATTTTTTAAATTTTTTAAATTTTTTAAATTTTTTAAATTTTTTAAATTTTTAAAATTTTTTTTAAATTTTTTAAATTTTTTAAATTTTTTAAATTTTTTAAATTTTTTAAATTTTTTAAATTTTTTAAATTTTTTAAATTTTTTAATTTTTTTAAATTTTTTAAATTTTTTAATTTTTTTAAATTTTTTAAATTTTTTAAATTTTTTAAATTTTTTAAATTTTTTAAATTTTTTAAATTTTTTAAATTTTTTAAATTTTTTAAATTTTTTAAATTTTTTAAATTTTTTAAATTTTTTAAATTTTTTAAATTTTTTAAATTTTTTAAATTTTTTAAATTTTTTAAATTTTTTAAATTTTTTAAATTTTTTAAATTTTTTAAATTTTTTAAATTTTTTAAATTTTTTAAATTTTTTAAATTTTTTAAATTTTTTAAATTTTTTAAATTTTTTAAATTTTTTAAATTTTTTAAATTTTTTAAATTTTTTAAATTTTTTAAATTTTTTAAATTTTTTAAATTTTTTAAATTTTTAAAATTTTTTAAATTTTTTAAATTTTTTAAATTTTTTAAATTTTTTAAATTTTTTAAATTTTTTAAATTTTTTAAATTTTTTAAATTTTTAAAATTTTTAAAATTTTTAAAATTTTTTAAATTTTTTAAATTTTTTAAATTTTTTAAATTTTTTAAATTTTTTAAATTTTTTAAATTTTTTAAATTTTTTAAATTTTTTAAATTTTTTAAATTTTTTAAATTTTTTAAATTTTTTAAATTTTTTAAATTTTTTAAATTTTTTAAATTTTTTAAATTTTTTAAATTTTTTAAATTTTTTAAATTTTTTAAATTTTTTAAATTTTTTAAATTTTTTAAATTTTTTAAATTTTTTAAATTTTTTAAATTTTTTAAATTTTTTAAATTTTTTAAATTTTTTAAATTTTTTAAATTTTTTAAATTTTTTAAATTTTTTAAACTTTTTAAATTATTTAAATTTTTTAAATTTTTTAAATTTTTTAAATTTTTTAAATTTTTTAAATTTTTTAAATTTTTTAAATTTTTTAAATTTTTTAAATTTTTTAAATTTTTTAAATTTTTTAAATTTTTTAAATTTTTTAAATTTTTTAAATTTTTTAAATTTTTTAAATTTTTTAAATTTTTTAAACTTTTTAAATTATTTAAATTTTTTAAATTTTTTAAATTTTTTAAATTTTTTAAATTTTTTAAATTTTTTAAATTTTTTAAATTTTTTAAATTTTTTAAATTTTTTAAATTTTTTAAATTTTTTAAATTTTTTAAATTTTTTAAATTTTTTAAATTTTTTAAATTTTTTAAATTTTTTAAATTTTTTAAATTTTTTAAATTTTTTAAATTTTTTAAATTTTTTAAATTTTTTAAATTTTTTAAATTTTTTAAATTTTTTAAATTTTTTAAATTTTTTAAATTTTTTAAATTTTTTAAATTTTTTAAATTTTTTAAATTTTTTAAATTTTTAAAATTTTTTAAATTTTTCAAATTTTTTAAATTTTTTAAATTTTTTAAATTTTTTAAATTTTTTAAACTTTTTAAATTATTTAAATTTTTTAAATTTTTTAAATTTTTTAAATTTTTTAAATTTTTTAAATTTTTTAAATTTTTTAAATTTTTTAAATTTTTTAAATTTTTTAAATTTTTTAAATTTTTTAAATTTTTTAAATTTTTTAAACTTTTTAAATTATTTAAATTTTTTAAATTTTTTAAATTTTTTAAATTTTTTAAATTTTTTAAATTTTTTAAATTTTTTAAATTATTTAAATTTTTTAAATTTTTTAAATTTTTTAAATTTTTTAAATTTTTAAAATTTTTTAAATTTTTTAAATTTTTTAAATTTTTTAAATTTTTTAAATTTTTTAAATTTTTTAAATTTTTTAAATTTTTTAAATTTTTTAAATTTTTTAAATTTTTTAAATTTTTTAAATTTTTTAAATTTTTCAAATTTTTTAAATTTTTTAAATTTTTTAAATTTTTTAAATTTTTTAAATTTTTTAAATTTTTTAAATTTTTTAAATTTTTTAAATTTTTTAAATTTTTTAAATTTTTTAAATTTTTTAAATTTTTTAAATTTTTTAAATTTTTTAAATTTTTTAAATTTTTTAAATTTTTTAAATTTTTTAAATTTTTTAAATTTTTTAAATTTTTTAAATTTTTTAAATTTTTAAAATTTTTTAAATTTTTTAAATTTTTTAAATTTTTTAAATTTTTTAAATTTTTTAAATTTTTTAAATTTTTAAAATTTTTTAAATTTTTTAAATTTTTTAAATTTTTTAAATTTTTTAAATTTTTTAAATTTTTTAAATTTTTTAAATTTTTTAAATTTTTTAAATTTTTTAAATTTTTTAAATTTTTTAAATTTTTTAAATTTTTTAAATTTTTTAAATTTTTTAAATTTTTTAAATTTTTTAAATTTTTTAAATTTTTTAAATTTTTTAAATTTTTTAAATTTTTTAAATTTTTTAAATTTTTTAAATTTTTTAATTGTTATTTTTTTTTTCATTTTTTAAATTTTATCAATTTTTAAAATTTTTATAATTTTATCAATTTTTTCCTATGGAGGTTCAGTTTTCATTACTTTGTAGAAGTGATTTTGAGATTCCTTTTTGGGAATACACAAGGAATTTAACAAATATTTAAGTACATTTTGTAAATTAAACGAAACATCTATAATTTGATAATTTCTTTTACACTAAGGTGTTTTCCGTTTTCTTTTTACTTTTCCTCTCTTCCAATGTAAAATAAGACCAGTCCTGTTAAAACTAATGTAAAAATAGTCACTTACCACAGTCACTTTCATCAGATTCATCGGAACAATCAATTTGTCTATCACATTTCCAGGCTATGGAAATACATGTAGAATCGGAACATTCAAATTCGTGTTCTCCACATCTGCAAGCGTAAGAAATATATTGTTAGAATAAAAACGATAATTTAAACTGACCTAACAAAGATGGCTACCACCGTACACTATTTATGCATTTCTTTATATGCTTACAATAACTTCATAGATAATACATTATACCAGAACATTTCTTTATACCTTTTGGTAACTCCAATGATGTCATATATTATCAAAACATGTAACTCTTTCTATCCACGGTAGTTAAGTGGTAAGATGCATATCAAGCATGCGCTAAAATGGTGAAGGAAGCTTTTTTGTGATTAAGGTTTGTTTTGTATTTACTATGAAAGAAATTAAATGTTTAATACAGGGCACTAAATTAACTCTTTATAAAAATGATGTTCTTGCTAATGAACTTGCAAGTGGTAAGTGTCATCTTCTTCCAAAGCTAGAAATATTCATTGGATACTGATATTTATATTAAAATATGTAGATGATAATATGACTACCACAAGTATTTATCATTGATATTTCAACGCAAGTAACACTTCATTTTTTTTGTTTTAAATAAAATTCAATTATAACACTCCAAAATTTCTAATAATTTCAATTTGGTTTAGAAATCTTTTCAAATTAAATTTGACATATGACAATATTAAATGTTACGTGACAACGCCAGAGTAACTACAATACTATAGGCCTTTTCATCATTTGATGAGCGCAAGCGCAACCGCCATGTTGAAATAGCGCCAATTCAGAAGTTTCGTACTGTTTTGATCAACAATGGGTGGAAAAGCAATACAAATCAATCATTAGAAAAAATCGGTGATGTTGATTTAGATTTTTATAACTCTGTGGAAGCACATAGTGTTGAGCAATTAAAAAGGTACTTGAAGTGACGTGGACGTTCGGAACAAGGAAAAAATGTGGTGATTGAGAGGTTAGGTTTCAATACATATTAACTGTGTACAAAATTAACGAAAACAAATAATAATCATAACTCTATTCTAATTAATTATGCCAACCAACTATTAATAATTGCAAAAACACTTTAACATGAAAGATAATCACGAGTATAATTAATAAGATAAATTATTTAAAATTTTAAGGATCAACATGACATTTTTAATAATATTACTGTGTATACCGAAGTAGTATTTAATATTAAAAAATATTGTGTAATACCAGACAAGGATTTTCTTCTGTTGAACTACTTTCTCCATGAAAATGTAGTGATAAAATATAAGTATCTTTAGTAACATCATCCATCAATCGATCGAAAACTTTGTCACTTCGACCACATTTTTTCACTCATAATGCTTATTTTAAACATGTTAATATGTATTTTGCCTAATGTTTTGATAGTTTTTTACGATATTGCAGGCAAGTCTTTTTATAAAATAATAATTTATACCGTGTGTCACTTTTACGTACTTATAATAATACCGTTTAGTTTTTCCTTTCCGTAAAGATAACATAATTAATTGATTGCAAAAATTGATTTTTAATTAAGACACTTATTGCTTTACTTTTTTTCTCCTATTTTTTAAACGAATACACTTAAAATAATATTTATCGATTATAATTTTTTTCACGTGGACATTTTTACCATGCTTTTTTATAAAAAACTACGAAAAAGATGACTGATACTGACGCATGCGCACAAAAAAAAATTGTGATGAAAAGGCCTATTACCAAATATGTTATAGTAAGGGTTTAAAAAAATATGCCGTTTCATTTATATCATGCTATTTGCAAATGGATACATGAAATAAGGAAAATAAAATAAAACTCAAGGCCCTATATCGCAATAATACGGTAATATAGTTAATATAATACTCTTTTTAAGAATTAAATAAATATATTATCCAGAAATGTGCTTACCCTGAAATGGTACAATTTAATTCATCAGAAAAATCTTTACAGTCGTTGTCATTATCACAAATCCAAGTTTTCGGAATGCACAGTCCATTCTCGCATTGAAATTGATCGATCGTACAGTTCATTGTAAACCCTAAAATAAAACATTGATTAACTTTCTTAAACTTAATATAAAAATATCTAGTATAAAAATGTTTACAAACCGCAATGCGTTTCATCCGAGAAATCACCACAGTCATCATCACCATCACAAAGCCAATCCTTTGAAATACACCGTTTAGTTCTGGGACACAATAAATAATCCTTAGTTTCGTCACATTTTACATGATGTTCGATAGACTCACAATCCAGTTCATCTTCATTACCTTCACAGTCGTTTACACCATCACATCTAAAACAACGAAGGGTCTATAAGATAATATTTTTCTAACTGAAAATAGTAGTTCATAGGTGTCTCTGATAAACATATTATATGACCATACAATATAGTTATTTATGTAAAGCAATGTTGAAAAGTTTCAAGTCCAGGTGGCCGAACTAATTTAAGATATAGTCTTCACATAGTCCTTCACACCCTTAGTAGCCACCTTAATAATGTCAGTCTCTACGTAACAGTATAAACAGATAATCTAGTCATTCTAAAAGCAGTGAATATACTCTGCTAGAAAATTATAGAGAAATGGGCGAAAGATAATCACAAAGTAATTCTGTCTATAAATGTGCAATTTCAAGAGAAATTAAAATTCCATTTTTAATATTGAAACTAAAGATAGTGAATACAAAGAAGGGTTAGGAAGCAACTAAGAAAATTGCAATCTTAGAGTTATGAAGATTACTTAATGTTAGCAGAAGATTTAGTTTACACTGTCAGAACTTCAGAAAGAAGCAATGGCAAAGCAACAAGTGGTAAGAGGCAATGCAAAGCGAGTTGAATGAAAATCAAACATTGCGCGAAGGAGCAAAGCCTTCACAATTTTAGTGAATTTTCAAAGACAAAATGAATCCTGATGGTAGTAATGAAAAATGCAAGGCCAGATTAGTCATTAAAGACCATGAAGGTGTTGACTTTAGTTAAACATTTATAGGTATTACAGTTATTAAAAATATGTATTTTATTCAGTTTGATGTATCGACTTCATTTTTTGTTGAAGAACAGGTTTAATTAATTACACGAAGTAACCAGAAGATTCCATAAATAATACAAATTTTGTAAACTAAAAAAAAAAGCTTTTTATACAGACGGTACCATCCTTATTAGAAGCACAACTTCAATACGGTTCAAAAAAGAAAGGCACCTCTTGGAGATCTTCCTAACTTCAATAAATCTGTAGGCTGACTATCGAGCTTACAGAGCCCTCCTGGAGTATATACAATGAAGCAGCTCACCCTCCTCTAAATTTATATAAATAAAAATTTCCTAGGTTTATTCGGTCATGTTTTTATTTTAGCACAGCACTACATATGGTTCGGAAACATTTTTTCCATCTTCGGGTGCAGTCTAAATTTAATAAAACTTTGAATTTTTTTTTACATTTTTGAAATAACAGAAACCCCATCTTTCTGTTTCAGTAAAAACCTATAAACCTAGGAAATTTTTATTTATATTAAATTCTGCTACGGTCAGGAAATTATCCTTATTTAAATAAATAAATTTAATAGTCTAAATTAAACAATCCACGTACCTTTGTTCTTCCTTGATGCAAACGCAAGACTTTTGACACAATACCTCGCTTTTTCTACACTTTTTCTCACATGCAGTTTTCTGGTGACTACCCAGCTGTTTCGTCGAATCATCGTTATCATCTGGTTTGGATGTGGGGAAGCTTTCCAGATAATCATCATCTTCGTCATTTCTTTGGACAAAATTGGGCCTGTCGAAATACGGTGATCTACCGAAGTTGTCTCTTCCGGGTAAAAATCCAAAATCGTTTGGGTAGAAATAATTCGCCAAACCGTGAACTGGTCTACCATTAGGATATTCCAGCCGCCCTCCGTATCTACCGCCACCACGGTTGGAAGGTCTATCACCTCTTTGAGGGATTTGAATGTGTTGGGTACCAGGATATCCTGCAAAATCATTTATTTTAAATAGCTCAAAAATCTCCAGTAATAAGATTGAATGAACAGAAAAAGGTGAAAATCTGGAAGTGAAAAGCAGCGACTGCTATAAAAACTACTATTTTCAATATCAATAATTCCTAAAATTTCAGCCAAGTCAGTGGTTTCAATGAAAATAAAAACACATTTTTGGAATTGACATATTTACAATAAAATACCCAATTGAAACACTTTTTAATTAATGTTGAAAAGAGAATAATGAAACATTGTTTGCATTTTTGTTATTTGTTTATTGCCTTTTCCGATATTGATTATTGAGTAGTAATTTAAAATTGTATGCCTTTTTTTGACGGGGTAGGTGCGGCTTTTATCACTTTTAAAAATAAATCTTTCCTATTCAAAATACCCTTTTCTACTTATCTATATTCTAAACACAATAAAAAAAAACAGAACTTTTCAAGCATACAAGAATAGGAGAATGATTAGGTTCATGTGAATATCTTCGCATATAGAAATAAAATTGGGTCAGCATCAAATTAAAAATAAGTTAAATTAAAAAGTTAGGAGAAAAATATTACCTTTGATCATAGGTACAAATTCATCCGCTTTCATGGGTATTGGGAATATTGGGTAAGGTAAATATGAAATATATTGTGGCGGGTTAAGGACGTGTGGAGACAAAGTAGTACGAACACCATGTTGTCGTTGACCAGTTGCATAAATAACTGACTTAGTTCCCGGTGGCCTTAACGATCCTGATCCATACATTTGTCTAGCTGCACCTTTATGTGCAGAATACGTCGGTGAAGGTACATTTAGAGAGATGTTTCCATTGCATTTGCCTAAAAAAGAAGAGAAAAATATTCATACATTTTAAAAAACCTTGTTATCCATTTTATTGTTCTAGATATTGAATTAAATTCCAGAACTTTGTAAATGGGGTTTTTCATACAATTATTGTTTCTCAGCCAACATGGATTTATCTACAAAATTTTAAAATAAAGAAATAAGAATTCTATCAACAGTAACGTACTAAAATTAAGCCAAACAACTAGGTTATTTCTCCAGTCAATGGCTTACATTGAACTAAAAAATGATTCAATTTTTTTTTTAATATATCATATTTCATATCTCTGCAAATTGAACAATTTCTATAATCAAAATGAATGAAAATCATTTCAAGTCAGATATTTTTGTACCCAGATTGGTTCAATAGAACAAATTAAATGTAAAACTTTTTGTTTCACGATGATTTGTCGATTTTTTCAGTTTTTGAAAAAAAAAAACATATTTCAAAATGAGGGAGTGATATGAGATGTGAGGGAGTGACATTATGAAGGGTTTAATGATAATAAGTACTTAAAGGCCTAGATTATATGCTTTTAATTGGACAAATAAAACCTATTTAAACTTACAACTAAAGATACATAGGTATGAAAGCGAGAAAAAAACATTGTGATCAAAATATTTTCAAAAACAAGTAAGTTATACGGGTAAACTCATCGGCGAGTAAGGAATGGACTAATCTCCCAGTGTTTGAAAGTAGCTCAGGAAATATTGTTGATGGTAAATAAAATGCCATTTGCGCAAATAATGTCTGCATCTTTTTTATTAGGCCAAGTAAATCTGTTAGGACCAAGAACTTTCATAAAATTGAGTTTTATTCTCCTAACGGTTCCATCTTTTCGACAATTCCCGGTATCCATTGTTCATCATATACTACAGCAACCCACTGGTTTCGTTTTAGTGGTTTCAGGTGCTTTTAGTTTGGAACTTTTATTAAACCTTGAAATGAAAATGAACACATGGCATATTATTTGAATAGCAAATGAATATATGATCGTCTTCTTCTCGAAATATAATTTGATGTACATTTGTAGTACCCAAAAATGTACGAGCTAAAATGCCAGAAAATAATTGGTTCATCTGTCCCAGAGCCTCATCCGACAGCTCATGAAGATATATTCCTGGACATCGTTCTTTTAAAATGGCTAGAAGTTCAGAAATATTTGATATGTCCTTTCCTTCAGCTACTGCTTGGTCGGCGGTGCTTTTCAATGTACCCCCAACGCCATTAAAGTGTTTAGGCTAGTTTATAGTCTAGCTGGATAGTATACAAACTATCCAAATATCTGGCAGCACAATGGGCCAAGTGAGGCCTAAGTACCGTGAGGTAACCCACCCTCCACACGTTACAGATACAGCATGTCTGGCCATTTTGATGGAAAATCATATTTATACTTAAACGACTATGAATATTGGTTGGTTTGTATATCATCCAGCTAGTACAAGATTTATCGCTAAAATACAAACCACAAGAAAAGTATACAAATTAACCAGTGTTTTAGGATAATTTTGTAAATTATCCACAAAATTTGGATATCAAATCAAATATATTACAGCACCATAAATTACATTATTACATTGTTATTACTAATAGGTTCACGTTTCAATTTTTGTCTTTGTTCTGTGGGAGGGATCGTTAGAAATTAGAAGTATAATAGGTTGTTTGAAAAAGACAGGTCCAAAAATTGAGAGGTTTAAAACGTTTTTTATAGTTTATAGCTAATATAGTAATATATTAATAGATATTAAGACAGCAGAGATAATAGTAATTTATGCAACAAGTGCATAAAGTGGTACTTTTTTTCACGAATGGAAAAGTTGACCGCATGAGCCGCCAGGCGAATGCGGCAATTCCATGAGTGAAAAAAAGACACTTTATGCATATGTTGCATACAATATTTTTTCTACAGCCCTATACAAATAATAAAATAAAAATAGATATTTGGAATATTTTAATTAAATTCCTTTAGTAAATTACAACTATAATAACGAATGCATAATGATTATTGAATTGGACAAATAATATTAAGAAAAGCTATGAATATTATTCTGGTTCTGCCATTTCATAAAAATGTCATATTCTTTTAAATAATTTTCTTTGGATTTCTCCGGCAGCAAAGTTAGTGTGGCCACATTAGCTTTTTCTACGATTTCTTCCGGTGTACATATTTCAAACTCGGAATCTTCACTATCCATCATAATAAAAATATAAAGAACTACTAAATTAAATCACCTCGAATTATTGATACTATAATAATTAAATCTGTTAACGTCAAATCAGTTACAGTTCATGTGCTGTCAAAGGTGACTTGATATTTTTTTCCGGTAAAGGTGTGGACGAATTGCACTAATCACTGTATTAGCTTATGGAAAGCGTGAAATAAAGTTAACGCTATGGCACTTTATTTCACGCTTTTTTACTTTTTTTCACTCTAACCATAAACAGCCGTTTTAAGCGTTAAAAAGCGGTGAAATACAAGGTACTTTAAAGGTAGGGCGTAGAAAAAGTATATTATTTACAATTTTTTAAAATATTTCAAACATGCCTGGGTGTTCGGATCAATTTTTTACTTTCATTTTTAATTTTGTATAATTTAATTGTTTGTTTCGATATTAAAGGAAAAACACTAAACAATTTGGGGCCAAAATAGAAGAATTTTCGTTGTGTTACCATTTTCTGAAAAAAGTCTACATTGAAATGTAAATTTGTATTTTCCCTAGTTTTTGAAGAGACCTTATGTAGTTTATATTGATCTCTGTGTACCCTTAGTAGACAATGATAGGTATATAATTTTCTTAAAGTAAAAACTGTTAATCCTTGATATATTAGATTTTGTAATATGCTGTTAAAAGTGTCTCCTCATATCGTTATACAGTGCCTTAAAATTGATTCGGAAAACGAGTTATAAATCATATATAATTTTTTTTTAAAATGATCTCTAATATTGTAAATTTTGCTAAACAGGACTCTTAAGCGTTTTGTAACGTGTTCATTCCATCTTATGTGCTGGTCAATCATTATACCTAAAAATTTTATTGCTACTGTTTTTTCTAAGATGGAACAGTTACATTTAGTGTCACTGCATTTAGAGTTATGTAATTTACTTTCTATTTTAGGTTGATCAACTGCAGTAAGAGAAAAAGTAATATATTTTGTTTTTTTAATGTTTAGAGTCAATAGACTATAATCTAGATATATTTTTATTTTTTTTAAGCAGACTTCTATGTTTAATTTAACTTCATTCAAATATTTCCCAGTCACAACAAGGGCAGTGTCATCTGCATAACATAAAAGTTTCCCTTTAAAGTGGTTTATTTTCGAGATGCTATTTATGTAAAAAATATAATTGTTTCCAATACTGTCCTTTGAGGTACTCCTATTTGTACTTTTGAATCGGTACATAATTCGTTCCCTACTTTTACTTTTTGGATTATATTTGTTAAATAATTTCTAATTAGATCAAGTACTATTCTTTTAATGCCATAGTTACTCATTCTGTTTAAAAGGTCAGAGTGCGGAACCGCATCGAAGGCATTTGCTAGATCAAGAAAAACTGCTAGGCATTTACTTGATTTGTCCAAGACCCTGACTATAGGTTTAAGTAAGTTTAATGCCGCATCTTCAGTATTAGATTTTTGTATAAATCCAAATTGTATCTTCGATAGAACTTTATTTTTGTCCAGGAATTTTATTAATTTGACAGCTTGTTCAAATACTTTTGCAATAGTATTTATAATGGATTTTGGTCTATAATTATTCAGTTTGCTATGATCCCCGGACTTAAAAATGGGAGTAATCCAAATATTTTGGATAGTGTGTAAACTAGTCGAAAACAGCGGTTAATTTGTGTACTTTTCTTGTAGTTTGTGCTTTAGCGATCTTGTATAGTATGTAAACTAGCAGGATAATATACAAACCAACCAATATTCATAGCTATTTTAGTAGAAACATAATTGTCTATCAACAGCCAGCCATTTGAATAGTTTGTATGCTATCCAGCTAGTCTATAAACTAGCCAAGTAAACACTTCAACCGTAACATATATAATGAAAATCGTGCAAATTTTTTAAATATGTATTTCCAAAAATTAATATTTATTATTCTTATTTTTATTACAAATTCTTTCTTTAGCCTTAACCATCTAATATTTACTTGCTTATATTGGATCTTCAATAAACCTGTTTACAGTTCTTTGGATTAGTAGAAGGGTTCTTGTTTTACATTTTTATATGTCATTACCTGTCTAAAATGTACCTTTATTATTATATTATTTTCTCTTCATCGTAAAATGTACGACACATTAATATTAACGTGTATTAAAATCATAATAATGTTTTAGGGTTAAATTAACCAGTCAAATTAATAATTATTACCAAATAGGTAAAAATTTTCAGTGCATTCACCAAAATTTAAAATATTAATCATTACATAACTAGTAAAGTCCTCCACCAAATTTTTAAATTTATTATTTATTATTTATAATTGGAAATATTTATAATTTATTATATAAATCTGGCTTTTGAAAAAATGTGTTTATCTAAACTGCTATTGAAAATTAAATTCCAAAACTAGTTCAGTGCTGCCATCCCGTAATAAATGGAAGACGATGGATTGGTCCACGTTGTAGTTGCTAAATATTAAATTTACAGTAAAGATTTTAAAATAAAAGTTTTTAAATGTTGGTGGATTAGTTCTTCACTGCATTCATCCAATTTGCTTGGTTTTACTATGAAGGTTTGAAAATATTTTTCATTATTTCGTAAGGGTAATTAGAAAAAAAATCATATATGCTTATAAACGTGATTTTATATTTCGTATTAATTTTTACCTGTAAGCAGTTAGAACGTTCTCAGAATATGAAGTAACTTCTGGGTATATTACTTTTAGTATCTTCTAAGAATGTCCTGTTAAAGCACGTGCTTAGTATATACTTTTTAGAATGTAATTTTAAAACACGTATTGAGTATTTTCTAGAATATACGAGCCCAGAATCATATCATTTGGCCCATTCAATGTTATATTTATAATTTTATTTTAAACAACTGTGCATATCTCTAATTTTCTAATATTAATTTTAATAAAAAATGTTTATAAATTTGTCTCAAATTATAATAAAACTAGTTAGATTTATTAAATTTTTCTTCTGTATTTACCAATGTTGTCTAAAGTAAAATAAAAAATATAATATTGAATGAGCCAAATGATATGATTTTGGGCTCATACTTTCATAGTATAGATTAGGCAAATTCTAAGAACATTCTAAGAAGGACGTACAAACAAATAAATAGAACATTGATGTTATGTGGTCATAAAATGCAAAAGATAGTTGAAATTAAATCAACCATAATTTAAATATTGCAAAATGTGCGGCTACGTTTTCAGCAAAATCTTTATTACTGCATGGAGAGTCATGATGGTCATTTCTAACATGTACTTTCATTCGTCATTTTTAAATTACTTTGCTGCTAAATGTATTGATCTCTACTAATGATGATGTATTAAAGTCTACTTTAAGCTTTAAATCAATAAATCTTCAAAACTACCAAGAAATACATGAATTTTACAACATTATAAAGGGAATTGAAAGACCTTTCAAATGATGAATCAATCGACCCCGTTTTCATTTTCGATTTTAGGGATGGTGCCACCCCCGCCTAGGGGGCTGCACGTGTTAACGTGATTTTTGCCAATTTTGTGTCCCCCTTGAAAACAAAACCAACGGGTCTGAGCGTTTTTCCAAAAAAAGAACAGAGCTGCCAGTAAATGTCTGTTTCATTTTTGATGCGCCACCCTGTATAAGGAATTGTCCATTGGAACAATATTTTTTACAATCATACCAAATACGCGTTGTCCTTTATAAGGTATAGATTATTTATGGTGATAATAAAAAAAGTATATGCTTAAACTGAGAAACTCATCCAAGCCGTCCTGTAATATTCTCTATTAGAATATACGATCATTCTGTGTTTTTTTGCTTCAATCCTAAAAATAAACTCGATTTAGTAATCATTTCCATCATCATCATGCAATTCGGTATATGTTATTATGTAAATTATTTAGAAACGGCTAATAATATTGTGACTATGAATGAGTTCATTCAAGAGATTCTCCGCCAGCTAGAATATAGCCAGTTCTGAGAGCCGCCAATCAATACAACTACGCATCCCACGTATCTTGACACTGTTGCCATGCTTACGCTAATTCATCCGTAGAATGGAATTTAAATCGGAGACGAAGTCTGTTAACACATGGCAGCTGACCGATTTTTTTAAGATATCAAAGGTATTGTCTCAGTCAGAAAAATAGGAAATGTTAGTAATTTAGAAAATCAAGATAATCTCAGGATTTTTTAATGACCTAAATACTTGACAAGCGAAATAAGATTTCTAGGGGAAAATTCCACTCCATTACTTTCTAACCAATCAAAATTGGTGTTTTTGACAGGTCCCTATGGCAGCACATTTATTTTATCGGAGGTTTTTGTTGTATGTACCCACTAGCAAACAATAGTGGACATTTTTTGGCATATTCACCAAATAATATTTTTTTTTACTTAAAGTTAGTTTCAATTTCTTTATGTAAACATATTTACATTTGGCAAAAACGATTATGAACAAAATAAGGTCTTAATTTTTTATTAACTAAAGTTTTTATACATTTCCCCTACATAACTAGAATTTTTTTTGTATTCTTCTGCCACCTCCTTTCTTTTTAAACGCGAAAACTCTGGACTTGGAATCTTACATATCGCTTTATTAATTAAATATCTATATCTGAGCAAATATGTGTAATATTTAGACACAATTTTATTTACCGTTTTTCCATTTAATAGTTTTAATTTAGAATAATTTAGAAGCAAATATTCCTGAACAATTCCAGACAAATCTTCTTTTTTCAAATGGCAACTGCAATCTTCTATTAGTTTTGCCAAATATGATACATTACGATGATTTATCGTTACGTCGAACACAATTTTTTTGTATAAATTGCATATAACATGATTTTTAAAACGATTCATTTTAAAAATGAGAAAATGTTGTTTGTTTCTGACTGCAAAATATTCTGCTTACTATTTATATTACTCTACATCTTACTACAAAACACGAATTTTCACTGAGAGTTTTTATGATGGAAATAGCCCCTTTTTATCTGTTGAATGAAATAAAAACTAAAAAGCACTTTTCTATAACTTGTAGTAATTAAATATTTATGTATATTTATTTAAGAATACAGATTTGCGCGAAAGTCCCCACTAAACACAAAACATTACCAGTCTTTTTTGTAACGTTTTTCACAGAGACTTTTCTTGATATATTTTTGAAACAATACTAAAATATCCCATAAATGTTTAAAGTTTAACATCATATTCGTTAACATTCCTCGCATATATCTACAAATGAAGTTTTATGTACGCTGCAATGCTTAAATTAGCAGTTACATAAACATATTTTGTACTTCTTTTTAGTTACTTCCTGTGACAAACATTTACGATTCTAATTTTTATAAATCGCAATAATATCGCATACAGGTCAGCACAGTAATGTGTACAAGTTACACATCTTTAAGATGGCTATCTTTAGTCTTTATATCGCAGACCTGGCAGACCTAACAGATCGTCCCGCGTTCATAGATGGATATACCAATGGTTGCTTGCTACTTGCGTAACCGGTAGTATTGTATTATGGAGCAGTCTGTTCCCTAGTATTAAGTATTTCATTGAAGTTCTTACTTTTACCTTTGATATTAATTTAAACCATTGTATATCATACTTTTTCTGTAAATTTTTCTGGGATTAGAAATTGAAAGTTAACTTAACTTGTCTTCTAGCTTTTGGCATCTAGATTATTTATTTTTATTCTGTTTTATATATATGAAATATAAAACATTTATATAACATGGTCCATATATAATTTAAAAGATGAAAATAAAAATAAAAAGGTAGGAACTGTATCGTATTTGGAACGTCACATTTGGTTCATTAATATGATTTTATTTTATGGGCTTTTATGATAACATCTACAAGAAGTAAAAAGACTTTCTTGTATATAACAGGAATGTCACATCTGGTTTGTTAAAAAGACATCATTTTTGGGAACTTCCAATAACGTTGAATAACGTAACAAGGTTGCGCTGTAATATCACCGCAACGTCCACATTGTTTCATCACAAAAATAAACGTCCCTACTCTGGGCTTAGACGGTTATGAATCCGTAAAAATGAGAATTACAATGTAACAATGTGATGTAAAGTTCTCATTAATTTAACGTTTTTATGCATAGTGGGTCCGGGTTAAAATTATTGTCTCTTCAACCAGTAACTTAAAAATGTTGAAACACGTGAATTGATTTTTACATTGGACGTATTTGTTGCCAATAAAATAAAACTGTTTTCTTCAACCTCTTAGCTGCAACCCTACTCAATTTTTTTTACAAATACCTTTTTAGTGATATCGACGGGTGAATTAACGTAGATGTTGAAAATGTCCCCCACAATCTACTTGGCAGGCTCCCACGTGATGGTAAAACTCATTTGTGGAATACCGAATAGCCTCAGCCAGTATGTTATTTGATTTCACTCTATTTCTGTTGTTTTGATTAACCTTGTCTTTCAGATGTCTCCAAAGAAAGTAACCTAAGGCATTAAGTCTGGTGGCCATTCATTCAATCGTACCACTTCATCCAATCCAGCGTCTTGCAAATATTTCAATGAACCGGAGAGCGCCGTCCTGTTGAAACCACAGTGTTTCACTGGGGAGATCTGGATCTACTTCGTAGGGAAAAGTAACAGCTAGACAGGTACTAATTCAAATCTTAAAAAGTCTAAGTAGCGTTCAGCTGTAAGGCTTTCCTTAAAAAAGTATGAACCAACTGCTTGTTGATATATTCCTGCCCATATATTTACTTTCTGAGGACGCTGCATATTAAGTTTATACATCCAGTATGGATTTTTCTGACTCCAGAAACGATAATTTGTTTTAACTACTCCATTCGAAAAGAGTATATTCAGTGGAAACCTATTATTCTCCTCACATCGCCTTATCATTTCCTCACAAAATTAAATACGCCTGTCATAGTCATCTTCCAAAGGCTCTTGGACAATATATACCTTATAGATATGGGTGGTATTTTACTGTTTTCAAACCTCCCAATTGAAGACACTGGTGCAAAAAGGAGACAGCTCCATTTTTATAGCGATTTTTCTTCTATAGTGGAATCTACTAAAAAAAAAAAACGTTTTATCGATTGGTGCAAGAACGAGGCAGCTCTGTTGGTTTGTACTGATGTTATACTAAATATATTGACGTTACCCACTTCAATTCGGTGAAAAAAGGAAACAACTCCGGAGTTACCTCGTTTATGCACCAAATCAATTCATATTTTTGCCGCTCTGAGACAAGTTTGATATTTTTTATTAGTCATTACGCCGATGCTTGTGTTCTACTGTTTTTTGGCCAAGTTGAAGGCAGAAGCTCCGCCAGCGTCTGTATTTAGGACGAATTTGCTCTTCAAAAACCTGGAGTAAATCTGGCGCTACCTAGTCCTGACTTACACATCTACGTGGGCCTTTACCACTCAAGCGCACTAAATATCTGCATGTAAAAGAAGTAGCAATAAAATACGTCCCTGCTGATTTTGTGTGGTTTTAGGGGCTGCTTACATGTCTAGAAGAATAGTCTGACCAGTTCACAGACAGATTTGAAGATGCTTAAATTGACTATAATAAAAAGTATACTAGTTGTTATTCTTATCTAAATAAAACTGTTAAATTAAGGTTTTTTATTTAAAAGTCCTAAATCATTCTTCCTGTCTAGATCTCACCAGGGAATTCTTTTACTTCTCTAATTTCTCACATCCTTCTTCTCTTTTTCCACTTTAAGGCTGTAACGGTTCGAATCGCCGCTAGATAATACGGTATGCAGTTAGATGTATTAAGGTTTTTTTCATTTAAAAGTGTATTAGTTTAGAGGTTGACACATTTCAGATTACTTTCCGGTGTAAAGAGGAGGTAGCTCCCCAATTTTTTTTTTAATTTGAAAATTTTGGACTCATTTTGTATTTTTTTAATAAACTACAACCTAACGTTGACAAAAAAATGAATATTTTTAAATTTAAAAAGTTTTTATATTGTCCTGAAAAATTTAATGAAGCTACCCCTTTTGTAAACCAGTATCTTCAATTGTTCTCCTAGACACAACATGATTTTGGACCAATGAAACCGTTGACAAATGTGGATCGTCCTGCAGAGATAAGAGATAAGGCAATATTCATTTTTTTATCTTCGTCTAAAACATGTGGCCGGCAAGTGTTCTGCACTGTACCATGTTCTTCAAATTTGTAGAAGATCTTACTAACAGTACCCCGTGAAATGTGATTTTCCGGATATTTTGCATTATATAAAGTACACACTTTGCATTCTATTCCCACATCCCAACAATGTCAAGACTGCGATACGCTGTTTCCCGGACAATACCATTTTCGTTTAATAAATTAAAAGAGAACACTTTCAAGATACACCAGACGTTTCAATTCAATTGTACACAGAAATGCCCTAAAAACTGAGCCAAAATATTTATCAAGACAAAAAACTTGGTACATAAGATGCAACAACTTTTTTCCTTTTTGAAGTATACTGCTCAACAATTGCTTAGGATTAAACTCATTTTATGTTGATGCTAGGTTGCGGTATCAGGTTTAAACATGGTAAATCAATAAAACTTGGTGTTCTGACTGCCCAGGCTTGCCTGTTTTTATTTATTAAAGATAGCCCACCGATATTAGGTTTTACCATCGCCTGGAAGGCTGCCAAGTAGAGGGTGGAGGACATTTTCGACATTCGCTACGTTAATTCACGCATCGATAGAACTAAAGGAGGTATTTGTAACTTTTTTGTTTTTAAACGAATTTTTTTTCAATAACAACATGAGTAAAAGAAAAAAAGGTATGCACAGATTCAATTTTTCAGGAGCTTTTCAATGATGATGATGATACACATGACATAACCTAGCATCTAAAAAAAAAGTTGGGTAGGGTTGCAGTTAAGGGGTAGTAATAATAATAATACTCTCCCTAATTCACCCCCTTACGAGTGAATTTTAACCCCAAAAGCTGAGCTTGTGCGGAGAAAGGGACGGCTATTATTATTTGCCGTGGCGCTCCGGGGCGACTTAATGATGATTGATGGTGCCATTTGACTTACAGGTGAGGAAAACCCGAAAACCCTTACCCACCATCATCGAGACGGTAATGTATGGCGATTTTTTTTTAATCTGCATGTCATATCACCATAAAGTGAATTTCTATTAATAAGGCACACATCAAATCCTATACCGAACCATGCAATTTAATAAAAAATCCACATGGTCTGGTCTGGGATTCGAAGCCCAGCAGTCTCTTACACATAAACTTGCTTTTAAATGAATATAAGCTCGTTAGACCGCTACACCACCGACCCGACCCGGTTGAACAAAACACTTCATTTTATTGGCACAAATACGTCCAATATAAAATAAATTCACGTGTTTTAGCGTTTTTCTTTAAGTTACTGGTTGAACAGATAATAATTTTATTCCAGATTTTCGCGCAACTCGGTATACTATTATAAGTCTTAAAATTATTATTCCGCGTAAGATTCCATTGCTTCCAGAGCTACTGAGCAAGCTAAATCTGTTTATGTACCTATACCTATATAAAAACCCAATAAAATTTTCTACAAATTGTAGTAAACCAAATCATACATAATATGAAATAATGAGCTATGCTAAATATTGAAATAGTATTTTGGCGCAATTAGGTGGATCCCCACGGTGCACCTCTGACCCCTTTACAGTAAAACTACAGTGGCATTATATATTTTATTTTTCCACATAGTCTCCCTCTACACTAATTTACTTGGTCCATCGGTGCTCTAAACATCTCAACAGCCACCTGGAAAAAATTTTGTCCGACCTCTGCAAACCACCTCGCTACAGCTTGCATCAGTTCATCATTACATTTTTTCCACGTAAGTTTTCTTTTAATTTGGGGAACAGCCCGTAATTACAGCTGGGCAAGATCTGGTGAACATAATGGGTGCTTCACTAATTTAAAGCCTGCTTGGTATATCAGCAAGATGTATAGCTGGGAGCATTATCCTGATGGAACAGCACACTGTTCCTTAACTTTCTTTCTTTCTTTTTAAGAGCGTCTCGCAATTTAGATCTCAATTCTGCGTAATATGCTTCTGTAATGTTCTGCCTCTTCTTGCACATAGTCAGGATGACTTCTTGAACATCCTAGAACATAGACAGCAAAACCTTTCGAGCAAAGGAAACGACTTTGAATTTGCGTGAAGAAGGAGAACCGCGATGTTTTTACTCTTTACTTTGCGCTTTGATCTTGGGATTATAGTGGAGCACCCACTACTCATCCATGGTAACATACCGACAAAGACAGATCTCTTTGCTTGCTTGGCACCTTTTCAAAAGTCGTTTACTAGTCAACATCTGATTTCTTTTTTGATCAATGGTTAACATTCGGGGCACTCATCTTGCACTTATCTAATTCTTTATACAGTATATGGTGCACCACATAATAAGATTAGCCAGTATCTTTTACAATATCCTTGATGCGGTACGATTTCGTGTACCTTTTTAATGTTTTTGTCTGTTTTTACCGTTATGGGAGGACCACCAGCATGCTGGTTTTCACAGGATGTTCTTCCGCATTTAAAATCTGGATACTAGCCTTTTACTATGTCATAAGAAATTGCAGAAACCCTATTAGTTGCCACAATGTCTTCATGAATATTTGTATGACCAATTACGACACACAGTTCAAGAATTACCTACATTATAACAACGCTTTGAGATACAAAGTTGATATTTCGTAGATATGATCTACAAAAGTCAGTTTATTAACTGTCAAAAACATTAATTAAACCACCACTCCGACTACATAAGGATCCACCTTCGTACAATCAATAACCTGAAACATTTTTTGTTTTTGTTTTGTTTTGTTTTTGTTTATCGATTTAGGTAGGTAGGTATATGACATATATTTATAAAAAAAATCAATTATCTATGTTATTTCGATTATTTTGACTACTGTTATTATTGTTTATGTAAAAAGGCAATTATTGTATAGACTTTACAGAAGTTGAAGTATATCTCATTGCCTCAATTATTTCCTTATAGTGACCTGAATCTATTTGCAGATATGGTTTTGTTAAATATCCAGTAATTTTAATTAATTACTGTCACTAATTTCGGTTCTGACTAAATTTTAAACAGCAGTAGCTCTTGCTGAGTAATATCTTATTTTTACTTTTTTGACGACAATTCCAATTGATGAAGCCACCGATTTAAACCAGGACGAGACCGTATTAATTTTGTCCAGCCGGACTGTTCTTGTATCAACCCTTGGAATTTGCGTGTTGCCAGTTTGGATTGGAAACGATTGGTTTTAATGAAATTATCTCGTTTGCTTGTTAACTTGTTAAAAAAGTCTTACTAGACATATTTCTTTATTGATTGTATTTGGTATTAACCACAGTGTCTCCCAATTTTTTATAACCCCCTTGGGCAAATTTAGAAAAAACTGGATTTTATTTAATGCGCTCAGATGCTTTTTCTTGATGGTCCATTTCTCCTACAAAATATTTCACGCATGCTGAAACCCTTTCATTTCCTCTCCAAGCCCATTCATGAGCAGCAATGTGAAAAAACTTTCTTTGTAAACCCTCTGGTGTATTTTCATCCCAAAGCTCAATGTATATTTTGTTTTAAATTCTGCTGTTGATAAAGCGGAGGAACTTGTCTTTTCTTTGATGAATCTTTTTGCAACTGGTGACGCTTATCATGTTTTGCAGCTACCGCGTTTTCAAATTATAAGTCAGAAATGGAATTCAATTTGAGATTGCACCTTTTAAAAAAATATTCTTGCAACTGCTTGGCAGTGCAATTCCATAAAACTACACTACACTCTTCTTCTTGTCTTTTGCATTATTTTTTCGTATAATAAAGCCTAAAGCCATAATCTTCAAGAATATGGCCAGTTTATCCAGAGGTATAGCTATACAAAAATCATACGATTTTTCTAAGAAAAAGTTTTGTAAACTGCCTCCAAATACTTGATTTGGATTTCTTAGTATCTGCGGGTGTTAGTTACTGAATCTCTTGACTAATACTTTCTTGTCCGAAACGATTCATTTTGCTTACGGCGCGACATAGAGGTTTTGCTACAAAACTGACAACTTCGGAAACATACTTTTTAGGTTAAGGTTTTACTTAGTTTCCATACCTACTGAGTAACTAATATTCATTTGCACCATTAGACGTTAAAAAATAAGCCATGTCATTTTAAGCTATGATTATTTCTAGAGGTTAAAATGACCCCAAGTCAACTAATACGTTGTGTTTTGCTGATGATTTGTCAAAAAAAATTAGACATTTTATTTTAAACACAATTTGGTGAGGGATTTTCTTACCGAATACCACACGCACCTAAATTAGTATCCCGAATTTTTTTAAGGCAAAATTTATTGTGGTAGAAGAAAATGTTTCAAGAATGGATATGA